CCCACAACCCTTCAGTGGGAGGGCTGACACTAACCACTGAGCAACACTGGCAAGGGTGAAAAAGCATTTTTTAGTGCTATAAACCCTCCAGAAATAATAAGAGATTTGTTGGATTAGAAAGTGCCATATTATAAAAATCAATAAATATGGCAGTTACTATGTTTCATTGATTGTATGAAACCTAATTTTTCTTATTTTAACATCTGTAAAATTTGAATACATCAAATAATTGATGGTGTAGTTCAGTTATAATTAGCAACAATTTTTTCCTTAATAGTACATAAAGTAATAGAAGGTCTTCCAGTTGATGATGTCTTAGATCTGATAAAATACAGTAGCTTTTTAAATAATGACTAAATTTTAATATCTTGAGGCAAGAACCACATATAATTGATTTTGGCATTTCCGAACACATAGTATGAAATCTCACTGAATGTATTTTGTGCTAATTAGTAAAGAAGAATTTCTTTTAAAACCTTATCTTTAGAACTGAATCTTTAGATTCTATTAACTTACAGTGTTTTAAAAGTTATTATAGCTCTGGCCATTTTGGCTCAGTGATTGGTTTGGTCCATGGACCAATGAGTTGTGGGTTTGATTCTGGTCAAGGGCATGTGCCTCAGTTGCGGTTCGTTCACCCCCCCCCCCCCCGCGTTCAGGGTTGTGGGGGAGGCAATCAGTTGGTGTGTCTCTCTTATGTTGATGTTTCTCTGTCTGTCTGTCCATCTCTCTGCCCCCTTCTTTCCCACTCTATTTGAAGATAAATGGAAAAATATCCTTGGGTGAGAATTAAAAAAAAATTATTATATATAATTACATATAATTTTATAACAATATAGCCACTATTCTTTCTTCCATTGAATAGCTTAAACCTTATTGACATTTTAATTACTCTTTTAAAAAATAGTTCAAATAGTTCTGGCTGGTTTTGCTCAGTGGTTAGAGCGTTGGCCTGCAGACCAATGAGTCGAAGGTTTGATTCCAGTCAAGGGCACGTGCCTCGGTTGTGATTCGTCCCCAGCCCTGATCAGGGACCAGCGAGAGGGAACCAGTTGATGTGTCTCTCTCACATCGATGTTTCTTTTTCTCTCTCTCTCTCCCTCTCCCTCTCTCTCTCTTTTTCTCTCCCTCCCTCCCACTCTCTCTGAAGAAAAATGGAAAAATATCCACAGGTGAGGATTAAAAAGAAAGTAGTTCATTACTTGTTTTCAGCCATTACAGTATATTAGGAATTCTTGGGTTGAATTTTCATTTATGATTTGGACATTGCTAGAGTATGTGCTTGACTGATTAAGATAAACTGACTTAGTTTAAGGTAAACCGATACAGTGTAGCTAGTTTTCAGTTATCCATACTAGTAGAATGGATCATTATAATTAATGAAAGATCTCCCAATCCTTTATTATAGTTATTTTATGAGAGGTAATATATAGCAAAGTTATACTGATTTGCATTTTTAAACTTTATGTTTTCTCTTTAGAGTAAGTAATAATAGATAACTGAAAGGGCAGAAAAAAGGGCAGCCACAGAATAGAAAAGAATTGAACTGAGTAATCAACCAACTGGGTAATTGACCTCTGAGCAACTTAAAATTGGCTGTGATTTCATGCATTACTATTGAGCATTGTTTAGATTTAATTTTTGTTCACTACTGATTGAATTAAAGTTTGAGGTGAAAAGCTTTATATATCATTTCTAACTTGTGAACTCATGAGATTCAGACATGGGAAAACAATAATGAGAAGTTAAAAATCAAGGTTAGAAAAGAGTATGTACTTGAAACCTGCAGTCTTCTAAAATGGAGAAAAGCAATTATAAGAGTTTCAGGAATCGATAGAAATTGACGTTCCATACCAAAGAAAACTTAAGGCCTTGAGTCCTGCCCTTTCACCATCACTATACAAATAAAAAGAAATCAATAAGTCTAGAAACAAACTATTCAAGATGTCTAGCAAATATTTTTTATACTAAAGGCATTGTTTGGTATTATGATTCAGAAAATGCATGTAATTAAGCATAAGGAATTATATTTTAAATATTTATATATTTAAATATTATATTTAAATATTTTAAAAATGATTGTTTTATGCCCGCTCGGTGTAGCCCAGTGGATTGAGCATAGTCCCATGGATGGAGAGGTCACGGTTCGATTCCCGGTCAGGGCACATACCCGGGTTTCAGGCTTGGTTCTCAGTACAGAGCATGTGGGAGGCAGATGATTGATGTTTCTCTCTCTCATCAATGTTTCTGTCTCTCTTTAAAAAAAAAAATCCATAAAAATAGATTTAAATAAATGATTGTTGTTGTTTTTTAGTATTTAGATCTTTTATATATTTCATTTTAAAATAAGAATAAGTGTTAAGCATGGATTTAAAAATAACTGTGTGGTTTCTAGCTTGTTACCTAAGTAGTTTTAAATGTCTTTCCATTAAAAAGATATGTAGTTCTATATTAAAATACTATTAACAGACTTTGTCAGACTGTATTTGGCCAATTTTCTATGGGTAATCTTTTAGCTGCTACAGTAGGAGATGTAATCTAATAGTTTTGAAATGGATACTAAGTATAGGAATTGTCTGAACTATTGAAGACAACAGTTTGTATGGGACTTTGAAACTGAGTATGAGAAATTTGAACTTGAAGCTCAGTTTGGGGTGTTATGGCACATGTTCCTTGACTGAAGTAGTGAGATTTTAGGGAGCTTACATAGGGATAAAATTCATTAGAACTGATACTTTTCAGGAACAAAATAATTTTTGTGTCCTAGTGTATAGTTCTTTACTTTTCTCCTATGATACATGTTTACTTTAATGAAGCCTTTCAAGGCATACCCAGATGTTGTGAAACCCAATAACAATCTTGTAAAGAAGTACACATTTTCTAAATGCTGTAGATGCAAGTGGAGTATCATTTATTAATGGTTGTTAACTATAAGGGCCCAGTAATATGCATGCATTGCTGGCTCTCTATAATACCACTTCTTTTTTTTATTATTATTTATTTATTTTTAATCCTCACCTGAGGACATTTTTCCATTTTTTGTTCAGATAGAGTGGGAAGGTGAGAGACAGAGAAACATTGACGTGAAAGGGACACATCAAGTGGCTGCCTCCCGCACGACCCAACCAGGGCCGGGGACAAACTGCAACCGAGGTACATGCCCTTAGCGGGAACCGAACCCGGGCCTCTCCAGACCGCAGGCCGATGCTCTAACTGCTGAGCCAAACCGGCCAAGGCTATAATACCACTTTTTTCTCTTCTATTAAAACAAAAACAAAAACCTTGCCTGGCTGGTGTGGCTCAGTGGACTGAATGTCATCCAGTGGACTGAGAGGTCCTAGTTCAATTCCAGGTCAGGGCATATGCCAGGTTGTTGGCTTGATCCCGAGTGGGGGGTGTGCAGGAGGCAGCCGATCAATGTTTCTTTCTCACATCGATGTTTCTATCTCTCCCTTCCTCTCTCTCTAAAAAACTCAATAAAAAAGTATTTTAAGGAAGCAAACTTTAAATTCAAATTAATGAAAGTGATATTATGGGAACAACTAGGAATCAATTTTGATTCATTAAAGAATCATGTACAAATTTATGTACTACATTGTTAATAATAAATTACTTAATATACTTCCAGTGTGATTGCTAAATACCACTGTGTTGGGACACTGCTTGAGAACATTGCTTTCTTTTTTGAATCCTCACCCGAGGACATTTTTGCATTTATCTTAAGATGGAGCTGGAGGGAGAGAGGGAGGAAGAGAGAGAGAAACATCAACGTGAGAGAGACACATCAAGTGGTTGCCACCCACACAACCCCAACCAGGGCTGGGGACAAACCACAATCGAGGTACGTGCCCTTAGCGGAACCGAGCCCAGGTCTCTCTGGTCCATGGGCCTACACTCTAACTGCTGAGCCAAACCAGCCATTGCTTTCTTGATTTTATTGTAAGGCGGTTACTTTGATGAATAATCCTGTACAACAAATTACTTTTCTTTCTTTCTTTTTTTTTTTTTTATCCTCACCCGAGGACATTTTTCCATGTTTTATTCAGATAGAGTGGGAGGGAAGGAGGGAGAGAGAGAGAAAGAGAGAGAGAGAGAGAGAGAAACATCAACATGAAAGGGATACATTGAGTGACTGCCGTCAGCACGACCAACCAGGGCCGGGGACAAACTGCAACCAAGGTACGTGCCCTTAGCAGGAACCGAACCCGGGTCTCTCTGGACCTCAGGCTGATGCTCTAACCGCTGAGCCAAACCGGCCAGGGCAGATTACTTTTCTTGGTAGTGTTTGTGTCATGGATATCTTCTTTACAAGATGTAGGTGATTGTTCCTTTATAGAGGATAGATAAGCTATGACTGAGTTTATCACAGCTTTTTTTTCCCTGCATGAAACAAACTTTCCTTTACCTCTGAGTTTCAAGTATTTTCTCTAAAAAAGCAAACAATAAAAACCCTAGAAAAATCCCCAAACCTTCTATACCAAGAACGCAATATTTAATATAAAAAGAACAGATTGCAGAGAGGAGTAAAGGAGAGATCTTGGCTTTAAATAATAATTAGAATATTTTTACAGAGAAAATAATAGAAATAATTAACTTATCTAAGGATATGGTTGCTTTGTTCCTCTTCTGGAATATCATTTCTTATCAGCGACACTGCTTCTCAGCTTGGCTTCCTGTCTCTTAAGTCAGGGCCTAATCATATAATTTTAAAGCAAGGAAGGACTTTAAAGATCCTTTACAGGTCTCCCTCATTCTTATATTTCTTGCAGTTTATTCATTGTAACACTGTAAATGATCTTATTTATCTTTGTATCCTCAGTACCTGGCACAAAACCTAGAAGGTATTCTGTCAATATTTGTTAAATTACCTTAAAGAACTTAATCTGCATTAATATTAGTAAGTCAGAAATATCATTAATAAGATTTGATGGTTCTTAGTAATCTTAGCATTTAAATATCACCAATGATTTTTTTTTTTTTTACCTTTTGTGTCTAACCAGATTTGCATCTGCTGGTGATGATGGACTTGTAGTTATATGGAATGCCCAGGTATGTATTGATTTTGTGTGGATTGTGTAATAAAGATATGACTCTATCGTTGAATATACATTCATGAACACTGGAGATGTACCTGCATATTAGTGGACAGACTAATTTATACTTGAAAAGGGATACATAGGATGAATTCATTTAAAATGGGGACCAATATTTCATAATAGAGAGTTTTTAAATTAAGATTTTTTTCCTGAGAAACAAATGCCAAATTGTGAAAATAAAGTTTTAATCTTACTTAATAAAACTTGTTATCAGCAACTATGAATCAAAGTGTTGATTTTTGTGGCAGACAATTTTTTCTTTCAAAATTGTATGATTACATGATATAGCATGCTTCTCATGTTTGAATTTAATAGCAATATTATAAAAGTCTTATTAAAAAAAACACATTTGCCCTGGCCGGTTTGGCTCAGCGGTTGGAGCGTCGACCTACGGTACAGAGAGACCCGGGTTCGGTTCCCGCTAAGGGCATGTACCTCGGTTGCAGTTTGTCCCGGCCCTGGTTGGTCATGCGGGTGGTAGCCACTCGATGTGTCCCTTCACATCGATGTTTCTCTCTCTCTCTCTTCCTCTCTCTTCCTCCCGCTCTATCTGAACAAAAAATGGAAAAATGTCCTTGGGTGAGGATAAAAAAAAAAAAAAAATTTAAGGCTTCACCACATTTCTCTGCGGCTTCTCTTCCTGATCCTTAGATACTCAGGTTATTCTCTTTTGAAGTCTTTATCTTCTCTTGTTATCTTATTTGACTGTCAGATACTCATTTTTCAGTGGCTTTGCCTGTGATTGAAGGAGTTCCTTAACATTATGTTCACCATTTCATGAAATCTTGCAGCCTGGGAAAGATTTTCAATTTGTTACATTTACATTGTATTTTAGTATGTTTAGTACTTGGGAAGTCCGGGAGAGTCTGATGGATAAAGACATTGGATGGTGGGAATAGCTGTTGCTATTAACTAGAGATGGAGTGGAGGCTAACTTTATGCATGGTTGATACATTATTTGATATAGATATATTTGTTCTTATGCTAACTTCTTTTCCTTCCACAACTTGATAACTATGGAGACTTAAATAACAAATACTTGGAGAATGAGGACTTTCTATTTTTTTTCCTGCAGATTAACTTACTGATATTTATATGCTTAATTTATCCAATTATATTCTTAAAATTATATGGAAAGAGTATTCCTTTAAATTTCAATATATAAAATATGCTAAAATGTGTATTTTCTTTCAGAAAGTAATTAAAATTGTTTATAGCTAAGTAATTTCAAATAGAGTATGTGTTTTCTACATGGTGATTCTTCTTAGTGTTGTTATTTAAAGTTATTTAAGTTGTGAAATATGAACCTATTAACATTTTCATTGGTATTTCAGACAGGAGAAAAACTTTTGGAACTCAATGGACACACTCAAAAGATAACAGCTATTACTACAATTCCTTCCTTGGAAGCATGTGAAGAAAAAAATCAGCTCATCTTGACAGCCTCTGCTGATAGAACAGTTATCATATCCTTAAATCTGGAAGAGAGTGAAATAGCTGTCGTGACCCAAGGGACCAGTATAGACATTGTTAGTCTTCAGCCTCTTGGGGCCTGTCTGCACATTCCTGTCTTGGCAAAACGGATTTTGTTCTAGCTTTCACAAGACACTTCTTAGAAGCATCAGGCATCTGAAAAGTGTTAGACTGGAAATAGCAGGTCAAGGCTTATTATTGATGGAAATCCCATGACTAAAACTGTTTTTTCAAGAGTTACTATTATATTAAGTTATATAAAACAGACAAAATGGAGAAAGTGTGCTTAAAAATACTTATTAATCTCAGTTTGCTTTTCAGTTTAGGGAAATAATGTCAATTGGACTGGAAAATAATTTACATTTTTTCTGCTCATTGTGTAGCAGAAAACAGTTAATGGTCCCAATCCCTAAGTACCTTTTGAGCACCTAGTCTGACAAAAAGTGAATTACCATAGTCTTAGTGTTTAATGTTATTATTTAGTATTTTATTTATGTTTTAGTATTTCTTTTTTTTAAAATTTATTTAATTTTATTTTTGTTATAGATGTTTCTCCTTTTTTACCCCATTGACACCCTTCTCCCCATCCCCCACCCTCCCCCATCCCCGGCTTCGTTGTCCATGTCCATTGGTCATGCATACATGCATATAAGTTCAGTGGTTTATCTCTTTCCACCCCCCACCACCCTCTCTTCTGAGGGTTGTCAGCCTGTACCCTACTTCCGTGTTTCTGGGTCTATCCTATTCCTCAGACTATTATATTCATTATATTCCATATATAAGTGAGATCATGTGGTATTTGTCTTTTTCTGCTTGGCTTGTTTCACTTAGGATAATACTTTTCAGGTCCCTCCATGTCGTCTCAAAGGATAAGAGATCTTTCTTTCTTACAGCTGCATAGTACTCCATTGTGTATATGTACCACTGCTTTTTTATCCATTCGTCTACTGATGGACACTTGGGCTGTTTCCAGATCGTAGCTATTATAAGTAGTGCTGCTATGAACATGGGGGTACATATATTCTTTCTGATTGGTGTTTCAGGTTTCTTAGGGTATATTCCCAGAAGCGGGATCCTGGGTCAAATGGAAGTTCAATTTTTAATTTTTTGAGGTAGCACCATATTGTTTTCCATAGTGGCTGCACCAGTCTGCATTCCTACCAGCGGTGCACTAGAGTCCCTGTTTCTCCACACCCTTGCCAACACTTGTTTGATGATTTGTTGATGGCGGCCATTCTGACAGGTGTGAGGTGATACCTCATTGTTGTTTTAATTGACATCTTTCTGATGACTAGTGATGTTGAGCATTTCTTCATATGTCTCTTGGCCATTTGTATGTCCTGTTTGGAGAGGTGTCTATTCAGCTCCTCTGCCCATTTTTTAATTGGGTTCTTTGTTTTTCTTTTGTTGAGTTGTATGAGCACTCTCTATATATTGGTAATTAACCCCTTATCTGATATATCATTGACAATGATGTTCTCCCACACAGTGGGTTGCCTTTCCATTTTGATGATTGTTTCTTTTGCTGTGCAGAAGCTTTTTAGTTTGATGTAGTCCCATGTGTTCATTTTTTCCTTTGTTTCTATTGCCTTAGGTGATGCATCAGTGAAAATTCTACTGCGTATGATGTCCAAAATTTTCTTGCCTACATTTTCTTCTAGGATTTTTATTGATTCACGGGTCACATTTAAGTCTTTTATCCATTTTGAGTTTATTTTTGTGTATGGTATAAGTTGATGGTCTAGTTTCATTTTTTTAACATGTAGCTGTCCAATTTTCCCAACACCATTTATTAAAGAAGCTGTCTTTACTCCACTGTATGCTCTTGCCACCTTTGTCAAATATTAATTGAGCATATTGCCTTGGGTCCATTTCTGGGTTCTTAGTTCTGTTCCACTGGTCTATATGACTGTTCTTGCCAGTACCAGGCTGTTTTGATTACAGTTGTTTTGTAGTATAACCTGATAATCTGGTATTGTGATCCTACCTACTTTGTCCTTTTTCAAAATTGCTGTGGCTATTCGGGATCTTTTTTGGTTCCATATGAACTTTTGAAGTATTTGTTCTAGTTCTGTGAAATATGTCGTTGGTATTTTGATGGGGATTGCATAGAATCTATAGATTGCTTTGGGTAATATGGACATTTTAATGATGTTAATTCTTCCAATCCATGAACAAGGTATGTGCTTTCACTTTTTTATATCTTCCTCTATTTCTTTTTTCAATGTCCTGTAGTTTTCTGGAAGTAGGTCCTTCACTTCTTTGGTTAAGTTTATTCCTAGGTATCTTAATTTTTTTGCCACAATGGTAAATGGGATTTTTTTTTAGTTTTTCTTTCTATGAGTTCATCATTGGTGTATAAGAATGCCGTCGATTTCTTGATGTTAATTCTGTGTCCTACTTTGCCAAATTCATTTATTAAGTCTAGTAGATTTTTGATGGATTCTTTAGGGTTTTTTATATATAATATCATGTCACAGCAAATAATGAGTTTCACTTCCTCCTTTCCAGTTTGGATCCCTTTTATTTTTTCTTTCTGTCTGATTGCTGTGGCTAAGACTTCCAGTACAGTGTGAAATAAGAGTGGCGAAAGTGGACATCCCTATCTTGTTCCTGTTCTTTTTTTTTTTTTTATTTTATTTTATTTTATTTTTTTATCCTTACCCGAGGATATTTTTCCATTTTTTGTACAGATAGAGTGGGAGGGAGAGAGAGGAAGAGAGAGAGAGAAACATCGACGTGAAGGGACACATCGAGTGGCTGCCACCGCACGACCAACCAGGGCCGGGATCAAACTGCAACCAAAGTACGTGCCCTTAGCGGGAACCGAACCCGGGTCTCTCCGGACCGCAGGCCGACGCTCTAACCGCTGAGCCAAACTGGCCAGGGCTCTTGTTCCTGTTCTTAAGGGAAATGTTTTTAGTTTCCACCCATTGAGTATGATGTTGGCTGTAGGTCTTTCATATATGGCCTTTATTATGTCGAGATATGATTCCTCTATTCCCACATTGCTGAGTGTTTTTATCAGAAATGGATGCTGGATTTTGTCGAATGCTTTTTCAGCATCTATTGATATGGTCATGTGGTTTCTACTCATCATTTTGTTTATGTGGTATATCACATTTATTGATTTGCGAATATTGTACCAGCCTTGCATCCCTGGGATGAATCCCACTTGGTCATGGTGAATAATTTTTTTGATGTATTGCTGAATCTGATTTGCTAGTATTTTGTTCAGAATTTTGGCATCTATGTTCATCAGGGATATTGGCCTGTAGTTTTCTTTCTTTGTGGTGTCTTTTTCTGGTTTTGGAATTAGAATTATGCTGGCCTCATAAAACGAGTTTGGAAGTCTTCCTTCTTCCTGAATTTTTTGTAATAGTTTGAGGAGAATGGGTGTTAGTTCTTTTTTGAATATTTAGTAAAACTCTCCTGTGAAGCCATCTGGGCCTGGGCTTTTGTTTGCTGGGAGAGTCTTGATTACCTCTTCAATTTCCTTAGTTGTTTGTTATTGGTCTGTTCAAGTTTTCTATCTCTTCCTGGTCCAGTTTTGGGAGACTGTGTGTTTCTAGAAATTTGTCCATTTTGCTTAGATTGTCAAAATTGTTGCCATATAATTTTTCATAGTAGTTGTTAATATTCTTTTGTATTTCTGTGGTGTCAGTTGTTACTTCTCCTCTTTCATTTCTGATTTTGTGCATTTGGGTTCTCTCTGTTTGTTTCTTGGTGAGTCTAGCTAAGGGTCCATCAATGTTGTTTATCTTTTCGAAAACCAGCTCTTTGTTTCATTGATCCTTTGAATTGTTTTTTTTGGTCTCTATGTCATTTATTTCTGCTCTGATCTTTACTATTTCCTTCCTTCAATTTGCTCTGGGGTTTTCTTTTTGTTTGCTTTCTAATTAAGTTGTGAGGTTAGACAGTCAATTAGAACTTTTTCTTATTTCTTGAGGTAGGCCTGTAGTGTTATAAACTTCCCTCTCAGAACTGCTTTTGCTGCATCGCACAGATTTTGTGTTGTTGTGTGTTCATTTCCATTGGTTTCCAGGAAGTTTTTAATTTCTTCCTTGTTCTCCTTGGTAACCTGTTCATTGTTTAATAACATGCTATTTAGCCTCAATGTATTCAAATGCCTTTGCATGTTTTTGTTGCAATTGATTTCTAGTTTCATGCCATTGTGATCTGAGAAGTTGCTTGATTTGATTTCAGTCTTCTTGAACTTGTAGAGAGTTAGTTTGTGTCCTATCATGTGGTCTATCTTTGAGAATGTCCCATGTGCACTTGAGAAGAATGTGAATTCTGTAGTTTTGGGGTGTAATTCTCTGTAGATATTAAATCCATTTGGTCTAGTGCTTCATTTAGAGTCTCCGTTTCCTTGCTAATTTTTTGTCTAGAGGATCTATCCATTGGTGTCAACAGGTTGTTGATGTCCCCTGCTATGATTGTATTGCTATCGATTTTTCCTTTGAAGTCCTCCAAAAGATTATTAATGTATTTTGGTGCTCCTATATTGGGTGCATATATGTTTATCAAGGTTATATCTCCCTGTTGGATAGATTTTTTCAATATTATGTAGTGGCCTTCTTTGTCTCTAGTTATGGTCTTCATTTTGAAATCTATTTTATCAGATATGAGTATTGCTACCCCAGCTTTTTTTTTGCTTTCCATTTGCTTGGAAGCTTTTTTCCCATCCCTTCACTTTCAACCTATGTGAGTCTTTTGTTGTGAGGTGGGTCTCTTGTAAACAACATATAGATGAGTGATGCTTTCTTATCCAGTCTGCTACTCTGTGTCTTTTTATCGGAGCATTCAGTCCATTTACATTTAAGGTGATTATTGATATGTACTTATTTTTTGCCATTTTTGTTTAGTTTAGTTATATTTTTCTTCCTATTTCTTCTACTAATTACAGCAGTCCTTTTAACATTTCTTGTATTGCTGGTTTGGTGCTAATGTATTTCCTTAGCCTTTTTTTTTGTCTGGGAAGCTCTTTATTTGACCTTCTATTTTGAATGATAGCCTTGCTGGGTAGAGTCGTCTTGGATTCAGATCCTTGTTTTCCATGACCTTGATTACTTCATGCCATTCCCTTCTGGCCTGTAGTGTTTCTTGTGAGAAGTCAACTGAGAGCCTTATGGGGTTTCCTTTGTAGGTAACCTGTTGCTTATCTCTTGCTGCCTTTAGGATTCTTTGTTTTTAATTTTTGGCATTTTAATCACTATGTGTCTTGGTATGGGCCTGTTTGGGTTCTTCTTACTTGGGGTTCTCTGTGCTTCTTGAACTTGAATGCCTTCTTCCTTCACCCAATTAGGGAAGTTTTCTGTCACTATTTCTTTGAATATATTCTCTAACCCTTGCTCATTTTCTTCTTCTTCAGGGACTCCTATGATGCGAATATTATTATGTTTCCCGTTGTTCCACAGTTCTCTTAAGCTGTCTTCCTGTTTTTTAATCGTTTTTTTCCTTTTGGTTTTCTGATTGGTTGATTTTTTTTCTACCCTGTCTTCTAATTCGCTGGTCTGGTCCTCAGCTTCCTCTACTCTGCTTTTTAAACCTTCCAATGTGTTTTTCATTTCTGATATATCATTTTTTATCTCTTCTTGTTGGTTTTTAATTTCGAATTGGCTTATTTTCAGTGTCTCTATGTCCTTACTCATGCTGTTCAGCTTCCTCAAGATCATGGCTCTGAATTCTAGCTCTGTTAACATGCCTAACTGCTCCACATTGATATCATCTTCGGTGGAGGTCTCTTGTTCTTTTATTTGGTTTCAGTTTCTGTGTTTCACCATTTTGGCTATCACAGTGGGCTTTGGAGCCTGCCAAGTTTTCCCTGTGGGTGTTGGTGTTCTGCTGTTTGTGGCTCCTTCTCCTGGGTTTAGATGAGTGAGGGAGGACCCACATTAAACACCATTGTCAAGTCTTACTTTCCTGGTTATAGTTGCTAGCCCAGGAAAGGTACTGTTATCCTCTAGCTTTTTGCCTGGAGGCTAGTAGTCCAGGTTACTTGAAGAGTTTTAGGTTGTCAGTTGATTGAAAAACTCCCTCAGGTGCTCAATATAAGGGGATTTTCCGAGGGTGGGACAGATGCTGGTTGTTAATGAGCCTCAGTTTTCATTTCAATGGCCCTCATTTACAGTTAACAGAGGCAGAGAGGTTAAGTGACATGCCCAAGGTCACGCAGCTAGCGGAGGGCAGAAGCCCAGCAGTCTGACTGCAGAGCCAGAGTTCTGACCATTGTGTAATGGTGCTGCCTTCACAAATTATTTTCCTTAAACAAATTTAGCCCTTTCATATTTGTGTGAGGAATTGGATTTGTGAAGGCCATAGCCAAATGCGGTGGATAACTGTAACTTTCATTACCTTCTTAAAAAAGCTATCCTAGATTAACTTGAAAAAAACTATGTTCATTTGAAAATTCTGTTTAAATAGCTTCAAACATTTATGAAGTAAGTTTTTGAGGAAGCCCAAAGAAGTCAGTGTTTCTCAGGCTTCTATAGAACCGAGATACTTTGTGATACACTTTAAAGGAACGTATCAGCTGAAGTGTTTTCTAGACAGATTGCCAGTAAGTGAAAACATTTTTAAATGTTCTCTTTGTGGTGATTACAGTATTATGTATGTATACAAGGACATAAAATTCACTCATATTCTTAGGTCAGAGTAGCTTTATTACTACTGCTCTATTGTGGCAAATATTTTATGGACTAAAGTTTTAGTTTTTCTTGTTTTTAGTATCAGTACAATCTCTATAAAAGTAGAATTTAAAATGCTTTTTTAATTAGACCATTCCTAAGGTACTATAATAATATTTAGAGACAATTATTACAATTACTATTATAGTACAAACATGAGTAGTTGGCACAGTATCAGTATAAACTTTACCTCTAAATGATAGTATCCAGTGGTTCTCAACCTGTGGGTCATGACCCCTTTGGGGGTCAAACAATCCTTTCACAGGGGTCGCCTAAGACATAACAGTAGCAAAATTACAGTTAGGAAGTAGCAATGAAAATAATTTTATGGTTGGGGGTTACTACAACATGAGGAACTGTATTAAAGGGTCACGGCATTAGGAAGGTTGAGAACCACTGGTATAGACTAATTTACTTTGCTGAATGACTTGGATGAAAATAATTCCAGGGTGCTTTGTTGGCAGTTCTTTTACTCAGGTGAATTCTAAATTAATTTAACTTGGGCTTTCACTATTAACTAACTTCATTAAATGTTAAGGGTAGATTTTTAAAACTTTTTTTGAAAGTGATAGTCTTAACAGTTTATACATACATATATATTTTTATAGATTATATATTTATTATGTAAGTGTGTTCCCAGACATGACGTAAAATGTGTATCTTACCATAGGAAATGGTGTGAAAATTTTGAAAATCATTGTACTCCTTAAGTCAAATTAACCTTGGACATTTCATGAGAGTCCTCTAATTATCTTAAATATGTATTCAGATAATAGGAATATACTGTTACTATCTTTTTTGAATCAGGATAACAGTAGTTAATTATGCCATGCATGTTGAGAGAGCTTTTAGTAAAAATTAATGGATGTGTTAGCTTTTAGTATAAATTCTTTATGTTAAATGCTTATTAGATTTTGGTGAACCATTTTGGAAAATAAACCTTAAAATTTAAACAGTTGCAATATTATGCCTATAAAGATTCAGTTTTCAGATAATCCTTTTTGTTGGAATTTTCAAATAATTTTTTTTTAGTCCTCACCTGAGGATACTTTTTCCATTGATTTTTTTTTTTTTTTCCCAAATAGAGTGGGAGGGAGTGAGGGGGAGAGAGAGAGAGATAGAGAGCGATGTGAGAGACACACATCAATTGGTTGCCTCCCGCCCAACCCCAACCAGGGCCAGGGATCGAACCTGCAATTGAGGTATGTGCCCTCGACTGGGAATCAAACCCAAGACTCTTCGGTCCATGGGCTGATGCTCCAACCACTGAGCTAAACCGGCCAGGGCTCAAATAATTTGATAGTAAAAATTATTTGAGCCCTAGCCAGTTTGGTTCAGTGGTTAGAGCATTGGTCTGCGGTCCAGAGAGTCCCGGGTTCGGTTCCCACTAAGGGCGCATACCTCGGTTACAGTTTGTCCCCGGCCCTGGTTGGTTGTGCGGGTGGCAGCCACTTGATGTGTCCCTTTCATGTTGATGTTTCTCTCTCTCTCTCTTCTTCTTCTCTCTCCCACTCTATCTGAACAAAAAAAATGGAAAAATGTCCTCGGGTGAGGATAAAAAGAATAATAATTTTAGATTGTAAGCCTGCTGTGCTAAGTTAATGACTCACTATGTGAATTAATTTTTGTAGTAGTATAAACACTAAATATTTTATGCTTTATTTATTTTCTACCTTAATGTGTAACATTTGTGATTTAATTATTAGAAAGGTTATAATAAGATTTGAAATGTTTAGAAATTATTTCTTAACATAAATTTAGTTATGGAATTGTGATTCTGGCAGACAAGTTCAGAAAATATCATGCTTCCAGTCTACAGTAAAGGTAAAATCTTAAACAGATATTTTATGGTAATAATCTTTTGGTCTTAGGAAAAAAAACCATTAAGTTCAATGAAATTACTTTTGTAGGTTTTAAACATGCTTTTTTCCCAGGCATAGTTACAGTTACTTAATTCTTCTAAGATTAGATTTTTGAAAGTATATATTTTAAATGCTAGAATTTTTGAATTTGAAATTAGAGCAAGGGGCAAATCCCTATAGTAAGATAAGAAAAAGGTAATACCTAGTATGTTTTTAGTAGGTAATTGTAGAAAGAGGCATTACTTGCAGAATAACTCTAGCAGTAGTTAGTCTGTTTCTTTTTCTTTGAACTAAAATCATGGAGGTATTTGTCCCTCACACTCTGCCTTCTATAAGGACATAAAGATAAGATATGTTTACAATAGCCAAGATCTGGAAATAGCCCTGGTGCCCATCAGTAGATAAGTATATAAAAATGATGTGGTACATGTACACAGTGGAATACTACTTGGCTGTAAAATAAAAGAGAAGGGACTCTTACCCTTTGTGACAGCATGGATGGACCTGGAGCTTATTATGCTAAGTGAAATAAGCCAGTCAGAGAAAGACAGATATCACATGATCTCACTTATATGTGGAATCTAATGAAAAAAATAAACTGACAAACAAGATAAGACCAGAGGCATAGATGCATGGAACAACTGACAGATAGCAGAGGGGAGGAGGGGTGGGGGCGACTGGAAGAGAGTAACCAAGTAATATATATATGCATGTGTATATAGCCCATGGGTATAGACAGTAATGTGAGGGCCTGGGGTGGGGGTTAGGGGGAGGGGGCAAATAGGGGGGAATGGGGAACATCTGTAATAGTGTCAACAATAAAAAAAAAAGAGAAAGAATTATTAGGATAAATTAATCCTTAAAAAAAAAAAAATGGATACTCCAGTTATTTAGTTCCAAAACAAAATTTTATGGGGCTAGTTGGTTGCTACTATTAGGTTCATCCATTTTACAGTTTTTAATTGGGGCTTATTACATTAAAGGAACTCTGCTACCTGTTGGAGAAACAAACTTTGGATAACATTTGGTTACTTTGATTCCTACAGAAGAAACTACCTTAAATGTTCTCAGAGCCACTATTTTTCAACAATCAGCAAGTTGGGGGAAAGATACCAGTAAAATGATACAATGTTTCCTCATTTGATTCAAAGATAACTTATTTCTAACTTGGAGCCAACACTTTTTTTTAAATAAGGAAAAAGAATTGCTGCGTGCCAATTGTCAACATATTTAAATTTTTTCCTAAAAGGCAGCATCTCTGGTAGCCATCTTGTGCTACTAAGCTCTTCTCATTATCAATTTAGTAAAGTCTATGGGGAAGAAAGTGACATTTACTGTATGCTTGTGTGCAATTTAACAATGCTGTATCTTTGAAGAAGTCATTTAAGCATTGACTTGATCAAATCTCTATTTTCTGTAATCTGAAAGATGCCCTTTTAAAATTCCTTAAAAATTACTTTTGCTTTCTGTCTGAGCTCATTAGGTTCAGATAAACACATGAATTGAAGGAACAGGGAAGGAGAAAAAATTTAGTATATTAGGGAAACACTTTGGTGAGTTGTTTCATGAACTGTTCAATAAAAGGTATCTAGTTCCAGTATGGTGAGAGTACTTTTTAAGGGGCTTTTGATGTAATGTTAATCAGCTAGACAGTTGTGTTTACTCCTGCTATGATCCTGTTTCATATTAAAAATTGTTTAAAATAGCATTTTACTTACTTTAGTTCAGTGGTTAAATTGTTTTTGAACAGATAATTTATTAAAGAAATTCAGACCTTGAATATAAGAAATACTATTATACTATCCTATTATTTATTTTTTGAACTAGTAAAGTTTTTATAAGGATTGGCATTGCAAGGAGATGGTTAAATTGGCATTTTTGTTGCTGTTGAGAATATAAATTGATATGATCTTCTGGAAGGTAGTTTAGTATTATGAATCTAAAAAAATGATAATATGAATTGGTTCAGTGATTCAACTTTTAGAAAAGTCTTTAAAGAAAATAATAAACTTAGAGATTTATGAACAGAGATTTATAGGTGGATGATTGGCAGTATCCTAAATGTCTTATAAGAAAATAGATACATTTTGGTGCATATATATGTTAAAAATGTATTTCAGAAGAATACATAAAGAGTTTGGAAAATTCTTATGGATGTTAAGTAACAAAAGCAGTATATTAAAACCAAATCTAATAACATATGAAAAGGATTATACACCATGACCAAGTGAGATTTACTCAAGAAATATGAATTTAGTTTAACAGTTGACTAATCAATCAGTGTAATACACCACAGTAAGAATAAAGGACAAAAAACATGATCATCTCAATAGATGCAGGGAAAGCATTTGACAGACTTCAGCACCTCATGATAAATTTCTCAACAAACTAGGAATAGATGAGAACTTCCTCAACCTCATAAGGGGAATCTATGAAAGCGTCAAAGCTAACATTGTATTAACAGTGAAAAACTGACTGAATACTTTCTCCTAAGATCAGGAATAATCAAGGATGTCTACTCTTGGCATTTCTATTTAATGTACTAGAGGTTCTGACACAGGGCAATTAGGCGGTAAAAAAGAAAAAGCATCCACATTGGAAAGGAATACATAAAACTCTATTCACAAGCAACATGATCTTTTATAAAGAAAATCTTATCTCCATAACAAAAATATTAAAACTAAAAAGTGGATTTAGCAGAGTTTCAGGATACAATATCAGTATACAAAAATTAATTGCATTTCTTTTTTTTATCCTCACCCGAGGACATTTTTCCATTTTTTACTCAGATAGAGGGGGAAGGAGAGAGAGGAAGAGAGAGAAACATCGATGTGAAAGGGACACATCGAGTGGCCGCCACCCACACGACCCAACCAGGGCCGGGGACAAACTGCAGCCAAGGTACATGCCCTTAGCGGGAACCGAACCCGGGTCTCTGTGGACCGCAGGCTGATGCTCTAACCGCTGAGCCAAACCGGCCAGGGCTAATTGCATTTCTATATACTAGCAGTGATCATACCAAAAATGAAATTAAGAAAACAATTCATTTACAGTAGTATCCAAAGGAATAATATACTTAGAAATAAATTAAAGAAGTAATAGGTGACTTGTACACCAAAAGCTATAAAACATTGTTAAACTAAAAAAAAAAAAATCTCAGTAAATGGAAAGACATCTCATATTCATGGATCAGATATAATATTGTTAAGATTGCAACACTACCCTGTCTACAGATTGGGCACAATCTCTACCAAAATCCCAGCAGGGTGTTTTTTGGAGTTTGTTTGCAGAAATTGACAGGCTGATTCTAAAATTTTATAGAAATGCAGGGGACCCTAGAATAGCCAAAATAATCTTGCAGGATGCAGAATTCCCAGCTTGAAAATTTACTACAAAGTTATAGTGTTCAAGACAGTGCGGTACTGGCATAAGGACAGACATACAGTTCAATGGAATAAAATTCAGTGTCTAGAAATAAAACCTCACATATATGGTCAATTGATTTTTGACAAGGGTGCCAAGACCTTTTAATTAGAGAAAGAATAGTTTTTTCAACAAATAATGCTGGGTCAACTTGGTATCCACATATGAAATAATGAAATTGGATCCCTACTTCATGCCATATCCAAAAATTAATTCAAAATGCATCAAAGACAAAAATGTAAAAGCAGAAACTATGAAACTCTTGGAAGAAATATAGGAGCAGAACTCCTTGATCTTGGGTTAGGTGTCTTAGATAAGACAGCAAAAGCACAGCAACAGAAGAAAAAAATGATAAATTGGATTTCATCAAAATGAAAAGCTTATGTGCCTAAAAGACATCATCAAGAATGTGAAAGACAGCCCAAAGAATGAAAGAAAATATTTGCAAATCGTCTATCTGATAAGGAACGTGTATGCTGAATACATAAAGAATGCGTACAACTCTGCTGTAAAAGACAACCCAATTAAAAATAGACAAGGAATTTGAAAGACATTTTTCCAAAGAAGGTGTGCCAATGGCCAATAAGCACATGGAAGGAAGCTCAGCATCATGTCACTGGAGAAATGCAAGTCAAAATCAAAATGTGACATTATTTCACATACACTAGATGGGGTAGTACCTCAAAGACAGATGAGAAGGGTTGATAAGGATGTAGAGAAATTGGAACCCTTCTACTTTGCTGGTGGGATTGTAAAAATGATATACCCTCCTTGGAAAATAGTTTGATAGTTCATAAGAATGTTAGAGTTATTGTTTGACCTGGCAATTTCACTCTTACATATTCCCAGGGGAAATGAAAATGTATGTCCATATAAACACATGTACATGAGTTCTCATAGCAATATTATTCATAATAGCCCAAAACATTTGGAAACAACCTAAATGTCCATCAACTGCTGAAAGGATCAGATATGGTATATTCATACAGTGGAATATTATTTAGTAATAAAAAGGAATAAAATACTGATATTAAAAATTTGACAAGCTGATCCTAAAATTCATGTAGAAGTGGAGTAGGACCTCTTGAAATGTAAACTGCATTGATTATTTTCAACCTTTATTATTCCAGCAGTTTTAAAAGTGATCCCACCCTCAACCCAAGTAGAACCTTCTTGTTTTCATTTTTTTATTCTCACTTGTTCATGCCCTTGTGCTCACTTTTTGATGGTGAGGAGAGTATACTATTAAAGGTGTGGACTTTAAGGTACTGTTAAAGGTAAAGGACTTCTACAAACCTTGAAATGCTTTCCTTAGTCAGTAATGATGAGATATTAATTTGAAGATACACAAAAACTAAGGTTATATTTTCAGTTTTATTTAAAAAGCAGTTTATTTTAAGCCTTGTATATTAGTTGTCTATTACTAAATAACAGATTACCTCAAAACTTAGTTGCTTAAAACAAGTATCTCACAGTGTGTGTGGTCAAGAATAGAGAGCAGCTTAGCTGGATGGTTCTGGTTCATTGTCTCATGATGTCATCTGAAGGCTTGACTGGGTGTGCAGTTCCTAGGGGCTTACATGCTTAGGTAGTGTTGTGCGGAGGCATCACTTCTTTGCTATGTGGGTCTTTCTCCATATGGCTGCTTGTGTAGGTGTTTGCCCCGGAGTGAGTATTCAGGAGAGAACAAGGAGGAAGCCACCATGTCTCATGTCTTAGTCTTACAAGTCACCCACTGTCCATTGTGCCACATTCTGTTCATTAGAAGCTATTCATGTGGGAGAGCTCACATTCAAGGGGAGGATAATTAAGCTTCACCTCTTGAAGGAAAGAGTATAAAGGATTTGGGACATATTTTAAAACCTCCAGTGAATACATGAACTTGAAACTGACATATTTCTCATGAATTTTGCAGTGTTTAACTGTTCTTCAGAGACTAGATGTTTGGCTCTCTGGTGGGAATGACCTCTGCGTGTGGAACCGAAAATTAGATCTCCTGTGTAAGACCAGTCACCTTTCTGATACAGGTAAAAAACAAATCAAGGTCATTGTGAACCATGATTGACAGACTCTAAAAGACACAGTGAATCTTCAAAGAGACTTTCCATGAACAAAGGGGGGTACTTTTCAGTTCTGAATATAACATGTAGCCGTATTCTCCAGTTTGGCGAAGGACCATGTAAAATATATTTCCATTCCAAACTGGAAGAAGACTCCCCTCCTTGATCCCCCTCATCCCTTCTAGCCAACTTCCTCAGAAGTGCCCAAGAAAAACCTTTTCATGTATGTTTCTTGGGCCATATTCCTAAACGGAGATTGATGAGCATGTTGATACCTGGAAGCAGATTTTTATGACTTTACAATAGCATTTTATTTTTTATTTTTTAGATCATTGGACTCTCAATAGATTTCTAAGGATGACCTCATTTTACAATTGGTTTTACTAAAAAGTGTATTCTTGAGCAAACTTACTAACAAAATTATATTTTCTCAGAATTCTGGTGACATACATTTTTGGTTCTAACAGAAAAAATCAGTTTTGAGTTCTATTGATACCAAAGATCTTAAAAAATAAAATTAAAATTTACTCAGAGTAAAAAATATTTAAGTATAAATGAGTAAATTTAAATGACAATAACCTTGAAGTCTATGATAACAGTATTAACTATTTTTGTTCTAAAAGTAATCAAATGAACCATGGACATCCCAGAAAAGAATATTATTAAGCATATTGTTGACATCCTAAAGGTAGTGGGAACACTGTGAATTGAACATGCAGTTCATAATTGGAACTAGCTTATTTCTACATAAATATTATAAAATGTGAAAATAATGTGATATCTTAGCAAAATTAAATCCATACCTTAGTAGCATTTACAGTTTAACCTTTTGGTTCAACATTTGACCACTGGTAATCTTGTTTGAATCCAGAGTGTATTTTTATGTTTTCCATTATCATGAGTTATATCTCTTTATTTACATGTACGTATTTCTTACATTAGCTGGTCGTGGTCTGTGAACTTTACTCCATGAATAATTAGTACAGACATATGTTGGACATATTGCAGATTTGGTTCCAAACCACCACAATAAAGTGAATCTTGCAGTAAAGTGAGTCTCGTGATTTTTTTTTTTTTTGGTTTCCTAGTGCATATTAAAGTTACATTTACACTATCCTGTAGTCCATTAAGTGTACAATAGCAGTTGGTGTAAAAACTCTATATAGCTTAACTAAAAAATACTTGATTGCTAAAAAAATGCTCACCATCATCTAAGTTTTCAGTGAATCATCATCTTTTTTGATGGTGGAGGGTCTTACCTCAGTATTGAAGGTTGCTGACCGATCAGGGTGGTGGTTGCTGAAGGTTGTGGTGGCCGTGACAGTTTGTAAAAACACAATGACAAGGAAGTTTGCCTCACCAATTGACTGCTTTCGTGAATGGTTTCTCTGCAGCCTGTGATGCTGTTTGATAGCATTTTATTCACAGTAGAACTTCTTTCAAAATTGCAGTCAGTCCTCCCAAGCCCTGACAGTGCTTTATGAACTAAGTTTATGAATGTTCTAAATCTGGTGTTGCCACTCAACAGTCTTCCCAGCGTCTTCACCAGGAGCAAATTCCATCTCAAGAAAACACTTTCTTTGCTCATCCCTGAGAAGCAACTCCTCCTCTGTTCAAGTTTGCCATGAAATTGCAGCAGTTCAGGCACATCTTCAGGTTCCGCTTCTAATTCTGGTTCTTTTGCTATTTCCACCATATCTGCAGTTACTTCCTCCAGTGAAGTCTCAAGCTCCTCAGTCATGTATGAGGGTTGAAATCAACTTTTTCCAAACTCCTGTTAATGTTGATATTTTGACCTCGTCCCATGAATCGTGCATGTTGCTCATAGCATCTAGAATGGTGAATCCTTTCCAGAAGGTTTTCAATTTATTTTGCTCAGATCCATTAGAGGAATTACTAGCTATGGCAGCTCTAGCCTTACAAAATGTATTTCTTAACTAATAGGATTTGAACATCAAAATTACTGCTTGATCCCTGGGCTGCAGAATGGATGTTGTATTAGCAGGCATGAAAACAACATTAATCTCACACATCTCCCATCAGAGTTCTTGGTGACCCAGGTGCATTGTCACTGAGCAGTCATATTTTGAAAGGAATCTTTTTTTTCTAAGCAGTAGGGTCTCAACAGTGGGCTTAAAATGTTCAGTAAACCATGTTGTAAACAGACGTGCTGTCATCCAGGCTTTGTTGTTCCATTCATGGAGCACTAGCAGAGTAGATTTAGCATAATTCTTTAGGGCCCTAGGACTTTCAGTGGTAAATGAGCTTTGGCTTCACTTAAACTCACCAGCTGCATTAGCCCCTAACAGGAGAGTCAGCCTGTCCTTTAAAGCTTTGAAGCCAGGCATCGACTTCTCTCCAGCTGTGAAAGTCCTAGATGACATCTTCCTATAGAGGCTTTTTCGTGTATGTTGCTAATCTGTTTCATGAGCCACTTCCATTGATTGTCTGAGCTGGACTTTCTGAATAACTTACTGCAGCTTCTACAGCAAGTGTTTCACCTTGCACTTATGGAGAAGGCTTCTTTTCTTCGACCTCATGAGCTAACCTCTGCTAGCTTCAGACTTTTCTTCTGCCTCACCTCTCTCAGCCTTCAGAGAATTGAAGACACGGATTTTCTCTGCAGTAGTCTTTAAGGGAATGTTGTGGCTGGTTTGATTTTCTATCCAGACCACTAAAACTTCATATCAGCAATAAGGCTGTTTCACTTTCTTATTAATCATATATTCACTGGAATAACACTTTTAATTTTCTTCAAGAACTTTTTCTTTGCATTCATAAAACTTGGCTAACTGGTACAAAAGGCCTGGCTTTCAGCCTGTCTCAGTTTTTGGCATGCCTTCCTCACTAAGCTTAATCATTCTAGCTTTTGATTTAAAGTGGGAGACCTGTGACTCTTCCTTTCACCTGAACACTTAGAGTCAATTGTAGGTAATTAATTGGCCTAATTTCAATGTTGTTGTATCTTAGGGACTAGGGAGGCCTGAGGAGAAGGAGAGAGACGGGGAATGGCTGGTCGGTGGAGCAGTCAGAACTCACACAGCATTTATGGGTTAAGTTGACCGTCTTATATGGGCACAGTTCATGGTGCCCCAAAACAATTGCAACAGTAACATCAAATATCACTGCTCACAGATCACCATAAAAAATATAATAATAATAAAAAACTAAATATTGTGAGAATTACCAAGATGTGACACAGAGACAAGAAGTGAGCAAATGTTGTTGGAAAAATGGTGCTGGTAGGCTTGCTCAGTACAGGGCTGTCACAAAACTTCCGTTTGTAAAAGACGCAGTATCTGCCAAGTTCAATAAAGCGGAGGGCAATAAAATGAGGAATGCCTGTAACTATGCTGTGAAATGTTGACATCAGGGCTAAAACAAATCTTTTTTATGTTAATGAAAATAACCACTGATTATTGCAATCTCCCTTTATTTTGCAAGTTACCTTAATCAGAGTAATGCCCTGCTTATCAGTTTCTTGACAGAGCAGAATCCTTGGATAGAATCTACTGGAAAGCTCTGAAAAGGCCACATACATTACCCCTGGTGAGCTTTTCGTGATTTCCAAATCACTGGGTGCCAGGTAGTTAGTTGGCAGTACTTTTATTAGACTGTGATCTCATGAAGCTCCTTTCATAGGCCCTGCTCGATCTGTGGGCTAGCAGGGCTTTTAGGGGCAGTTATTCCATATTTGGACGTAAGCAAAGCTAATCTTAGTATGATGCAGTTGGAAGGGCCTTGGACTAAAAGACAGGTCATCCATGCTTTTTCCAGTGATGTGTTCTGTGATTCTGTGTATTAAATTGCTACTTAAATTACTGAGTGTCCATTATTGTCACTTCACAAATAATTTGATGAACATTTTTTAAAGTTTCCTGCATGTAGAATTCTCTTCTTCCTACCCCTCCCTGTGCTCCCCTATCTTTTTACTTTATCTTGTACCACTGACTCCTCCCTTTTCCCCTCCTCTACGATCACTCCTCCTTGAACTTGGGAAATGCGTAGTGTACTATTAGAACAACACTATACGGCGAAAAGATTTGAGAGAGAATTACTCCCGAAACTACAAGAGGGCTAGTCTTTTCGTGGGTGAGAAGGTAAAGCAAACGAGTAGAATATTTTCCAAATTTGATTATATGTTATAAATTACCTATATTTCATAATGGGAAAATTAACTTTAATTGTTTTGTTTTGTTTTTGCCTACACATGTGGTTCTGAATGTAAAACATCAGTTCTTTAAGTCTTACTGACAAAAGTAATAATTATAACACATTACAAAGTTAACATATGTTACAGAAGTTATGGTTACCCTTAAATCATTTCATGATTCAGCTATAAAAAGATACTCAGAACTCCCTATTTAAATAAGTGAAATAAGTAGAATGTTGAATCTGATTATTCCAGTAATACAAGGAATTTTGTAAATGTATTATCTGATTATAAACATGCTATTTAAAAGCCACTCTCTTAGCTGTTGACTGTTGGCTAACTCATTTACTGCCAGGACCCCACTCAGGATTCTTACATTTAAATTAAGGAAAATGCCAATTTTATATCTCATTTGAGCTAGATATCTTGTAAGTGGTGATGGTGATTATTTAAGGGATCCCTGGTAAATAAGTTCACCATAATAGTAACAGTGTTCAAAGTGTATATCCTACCCTTAGTAGATGAATAATGTCTTCCATAGGCCTCACCTGTTTTTCATAAAATCATTTTCTGTGTATAAGCAGGTGTTCTGTAGAAAATTGTGTGTGCTTCATTGTGACTACTCCCTTTGTAGTAAGTGACTGACAAGACCGAGAATGTTTTTGTTTTTGATGTAATCCATGAAGAAAATAATTTGACCTTTGTTTTATATATTTTGAAGGGATCAGCGCTTTGATTGAAATACCTAAGAACTGTGTCGTGGCAGCAGTTGGCAAAGAACTGAGTGAGTATGACTCATTTTTTCTTCTATTTTTTTAAATTTTAAAGTAGAACTTGTATACACATTTTGGAAAGACTAGTTAGTATTTCATTTAAGAAACATCTATCTGCCCCTGCCCAAGTCGTGGCCTCCTGGGATTGTTGAAGTGATCTGTAGACTGAGATATTTTTCAAGACATTAGGTTAGTTTTTGTACGGCTCTTATTCTAACACAGCCAGGTGGGGCCAGAGGACCCCCTCCTCTCGTGCCAAGGAAGGCCCTTTACATCCACAGTCCTCTCTGTCACTGATCTATACGCATATACTTGTTTAGCAAAAAATTGAACCACATAAAGCAACTGTCAGCATTTTGGGAACTAAAAACATCTTGAAGGAGGATTATTTGGGGAATTCACTAAGGTAGGAACTGTGGAGATTTTGCCTCAGGAAGCCAGAATGGGTTCCAGTTTCTTTGGGGGAGTTTATGCCCTTTCTCTTAGTGTAGTGGAATAGCAGAGGGAGGGGTAGCAAGAGGAATTTTGTAAATGTATAATTAAGGATGAACATTTGAAGGCCACTTTCTTAGCTGTTGACTGGTGGCTAACTCTTTGGTGCCAGGGAGCCCACAGTGAAGGATGCCTTTTGTGCTCGCTGCCTTGCGAGTGGGATTTGGGTGCCGGATTGATAGAGTGAAGCTGCTTCCTTGAAGACTTCTTCTTATGTAGCCCAGGGGCATTTGATATTGTTTATGATGCTACTTCTTCCAGGCACCAGCCCTGAGATTGGCTGTGACCATCAGTTGGCATATTTGCAAAATTCAATGAGACGTGAGCTAATTGTTCCCCATTTATTCACTGCTGCTATCTGCAGCTTCCATTGCTTTGCAGTGAGGACAGTTTCTCCTCCTTCAGCTGACCTTTCCATGTGTAACTGTGTCTGAGATGTAATTTTGTATTCCCTGTGCTTGTCCTTTCTTTTCTTAAAGTAGTTTCTGAAGGCATTATGCTTTTTGTTTATTATTTTTTCTTTTTTCTGCCTTGCAGAAATTTAATCTTCCCATGTTCTCCATTGAGCTGGAATGATGCTTACCCCCCCCTCCACCCCCCACCCCCCACACACACACCTTTCTTCTCTTGTAGCTCATCAGTCACTTTGTATTTTTCTGGTTTGATTCTGACTCAGTGGTTCTCAGACTTCAGTGTGCATTAGAATGACCAGAAGGGCTTGTTAAAAACACAAATTACTGGGCTTTGCCCCCCCACCCCGAGTTTCTAATTCAGAAAGTCCAGACTCGGGCCTGAGCCCTGCAGTTCTAACAGGTTCCCAGACAGTGCTGAGTTTGAGGACTGCTGCTCTCAGGATTTGGACCAATTTCTTCCCATCTCACTAGTGTTGCTCTACTCAGGCTCTTGTCTCCGTTCTTGCCTGGAATGTTGCGTTAAATCTACTTTTCTCCTTCCTCTACTCTACTGCTTGTCATTCTGATACCTTCTATTCCTCTAGTTTAGTGCTTCTCACTTACATTCTTCAGCAGATGCTGGAGGGATCTATCTAAAATGCAGGTCACTCCCCTGCTTAAAAGCCTCGGTGGCTTCCTGTTGCCTAGAGCCCTGGTTTCTATACTCAAATTTATGACTAGTACATAAGTTCAGAGTTTTGGAGATCCATCACAGGGTTCCCAGATTTTTATTTTGCTTAGTAAATCGAACAGAAAACAAAAAAACTCAAGCTATCATTTACCACCCTCATTTTGTAAAAATTACTTTTTAACAAAGTGTGAAGAACATGATCTCAGAAAAAAAGAATAGGACTTTGAATAGAATATATTTACTTTCATGTGGCCCTTATTTTCTCTCATTTTTGCCTGAGATGAATGAAATATTTGCCCTAGAGGACCAATGTAAGTTCATCACTACCCTGCAGGATGAAGCGAAACTTTTTGACATATCAAAGGGGCCTCTATTGTCTTCCTTCTACTATATCACTTGCTTGTCAATACTGAATTGCCAGGGATTCCCCCACCTGAGGTGTTCCTCACCTTCACGCCTTTATTTCTGCTGTTTTATCATGTCAGGCTTGTCCTCCTACCCATTGTCCTCTGTGCTCTGGCTAATTTCTACTTACTCTAAGAGCTCAGCTCCCGTATCTTTTTTTTTGAGGAAGAATGCTTGCTTACCTAATGCTTTCCCTCCCAGAAGTTTTTCTACTGTGTTATAATAATCTCACATCTATCGTTCCATTTACTACTTTAAAAAAAGACTTCTGTTTGCTTTTTCTCTCCTTCCCCTCTCCTTCAGAATGTGAGCTCCTTGGCCACTGGGATGTTCTTATTCATTTTTCTGTTGACAGATAAGAGACTTTTATGGAATGAATTGGTGAATTCATCGAAATACTAGTAAAAGCAACAATAGTGCCTTAACTGAAGTCAGAGTATCATCTAAAATAACAGGAAGAAATGAAAGTTGGTTTTATTAAGAAAGTAATTTATAAAAATACACAATATTCTGTAAAATGTTCTTAATTTTTACTTAATTTTATCACAAAATAAATATGAAGTGCTATCCTTTCTTATGGAACAGTACATTTCATTCCGGTAAATGGAGTATCTTGTCTCTTTCCAAGGCCAAGCTTGGTTTCAAATTAAGCTCCATTCCAGCTTCTCCTTTTCTGCGTGAGGGCTCCTTTCGACAGGAAGTGTCATTTCTGTGTACCAGCCACACACACAGTGATCGGAGCTTCCCTCGCTGAGCAAGGCTGTCAGCGCTGAAGCCTCAGCCTGGCTCAGAGGCTAGGGTTTCTCTTTTGTTTTCTGATTTAATTCATATTTGTTTTATCTTCTTGAAGTTGTTACTTGTCTATAGAGACCATATTTATGGACTCACTAAACAGTTTAATGTTATCTTTAGTGCTTTGTAGTTCTTTGTAGAAACCTATTTTGTAGGTTTCTTTTTTTCTTTTTGTCATTATTTCAGGTTATTATCTCCATTAGTTTGATTAAACAATACATTGCTTTTTATTCCACAATCCCAATCTCAAGATCATTTGGTAGTATTTCAACAAAATAGAATTTTCATACAACTTTGATAGGTATGAGGAAGGATTCCCTTTTTCTTTTGACAGCCACAGTTGAATGTAAATGGCGGTCAGGATTAAATAACCCTGCTAGAGATTTGTCCATTGGTAAAAATTGTCCAGAGACAGAATGAAATGTGGCACAGATCTGTTTTCCAGGGAGGAATGTGAGAAAGAAAAGAGACTTTAATAATTAGCCACCACTTGGAAAGGTATGCCCACTGAGAACTTCCTACTTCTAAGATATTAGTCATCTTAATCTGTGAGCGTCCACAGCCCTGGATAGAGTGGCATATTATAGCCACTAATATATCTGTTACAAGTTTGTTCGTCAGTCTCACTACCACTCTAGACTGTGAGTATTTCAGGGCAGTGATGGGCCTTGTTCATATTAGGGATCTACTGTCCTGGAACACAGTAGATGTTAAGTAAATGTTTGCTGATGGAATCATTCCAGTTTATTTGATTTTGGGTTTGCTGTATTTATTAAAGTTAAGATTTACATTATTTTAAATAAAACTATTTGTTAAAGTCAGATAATGAGTAAAGCAACACATTTAAAATCTATAGTCAAAAGAACTGTATGGCACACAAAAATTATAAGGCACAGTCTCTTCAGAGAATTTATACTTTAAAGGTGTATGACTAGGTATCAAGAAAAGTTAAAAAAAGTAAAAGCGGCTTCTGAAGTCTTCTCTGAGTTGAAGTTCAACATGCATTTGTAGCTTGTGTTGCAGTAATGCTCACTGGCCTGGGAACATGAGTAGAGAAAGCCTGTGGTAGAGATGATTCAGGGGTGTGGGCCAGTCACTGGCTAGGGAGGGCGTGAGGCAGGATGGTTGGACTGCAGTGGACCCTGGAAAGGATGGGGCATCACGGTTGGCAGTGGGGTAGAGGAGTTTTAATAAAGGAACAGAGTTCTAGGCACACATTCACTTGGGATTTTAGTAGATCATTTCAAATATCTCAAGCATTTGAAAGAAATATTTTAAAGTAGTATGAATAAGACACCCTTTGGAGATGGGTTTTTAATATTTTAGACATTTATAACTTAATGAAATACTGGCATTTTAAGCAGAAATATGATTTTATCTTTTTTGACCATTTTAAGAAAAAATTATATTTGTCTTTCATTCAGTAATTTTCAGGTTGGTAGCACCCACAGAAGGATCACTGGAATGGGATATTCTTGAAGTTAAGCGCCTCCTTGATCACCAGGATAACATTCTTTCATTGGCCAATGTCAATGGTAAGCTCATTGTGTGCATGTTAATATTATGTAAAATTTTGCGCTTGTTAATATAACCTGTTATGAGCTCCAGCCTTTGTTCCAGGATTTCTAGAATTATCTTCATTAAAATAATACTTTTATTTAGTAGGGATTGGCAGTCTCTCATACAGTACTGTGAAATTCAAGGCAGTGGAACTGATCAGGTCTCATATTGGTAGGGGTAAGATTTAGGCACAAGGAGAATAGAGTGAGCAGAGAGAAGAGATGAGGAGAGCATCGTTATCCCAGGCTCTGCGGGATGATTGTATAGGCTGTCAGTTAGTACAGCCTACCTATGTTTGGTAGCCTTTCGGCGTTTCTGGCAAAAAGGTCCTCTTTTGTAGACCACATGGTATTATACAGTAAGTTACACACTTACATTTGAATGAGCAGGATTTAGGGCAGTTGTTTTTATGAGTAAAGACTCTCAGAAAATAACAGCAAACTAAGGTAAAGGTCTGCAGAAAATGGGTCATATCTGTCCCTCCTCATGGTTGTGAGTTTTGACTTGCCAGACATCCTGTTTAGTGTCATAATGATTTTAATCAGTATCTCCAGTGAGCCCAATCTGACATCAGATGGCAGGATAGGATCCCAATCCACAGATCCTGGGATTTACCTAGTTCACTTTAAAATAAAGTGACATCTTATATTATCAGAGTTGTTCTGGGTAATCTGAATTCCATGGTCAGATGAGAGGCCTCCTGGGTGGATTTACTTTGCTAGTCTGGAGGGGACTGTAAAAGGTGTCCTGTAAGGATGCCAAGAATATGGTACAGTGGGAGGACTGGACTGTACACCCTGACCTGAGACCCAGGTTGACTCTTTGTGAGCAATACTTTGCAAACATGTGGCAAAGGGAAAGAGGGGCACAGACGGCACTAAGTGTAGTCTCCATTTGTGTGCCATTCAGTCATATTTTCTGGTACATCAGTGGGAATGTCCCTCACACCTTCCAGTCCTCCTCCCCAGTAGCCATCTTCTTGTACAGCCCAGCTGGAAGTCTTTCTGAGGACCAGATTTGTCTATGGTGATGGAAGTAACAATGTTGGGGGCACTTTATGTCTCTCTGAGGTCTCTTTTTCCACTAGCCATGGATGGCAGCACAAAAGGCAAGTTCTTATATTTGGAGGACCCTCTGGCACCGAGCCATAAGCTCCAAGGCCTCAGAGCTGCTGCAAAAAGACTGCTGTGTTCTGACCCATTACACTGGTCATGCCTACTTGTCTTGTATTAGTGGCAAAGCATTGGTACATTGAGCCAGCATGGTTCCATAATAAAATTGATGGGAGGTTACTGATGTAGCCTTAACTTCATGGCACTTCTTTTGCTATGTGATATGTAGAGAAGTTTATAACAGCTTAACCAAGAAAGGTTTCTTCAAGTATTTCTTTGCCACTTTCTTAAGGGAGGGAAATGGAAAACTGAAACAAAAAATTAATGAAAACTACAGAAAAGCCCTAGTACTTTTTACTTGATAAACTCCATGACTGTAAAACAACACTACAGATAATAAGGATACATAGGAATCATATATGGACGCGTAGTCTGGCAATACTGGAACATGATGTTGTGACAGTCTGATCTTGGATGTAGGCATGTCTGCCTTGCTGCAGATGTTGGCAGTTCTGAAATGATTACGTTGTACAGTTCTCTGCTCCAACCTCAGCCCCGCTTCTTTGTCCCACCAATTCCAATGCAAGGTGTGGCCAGTTGCTGGGTTTATAACTCACAAGGGAAGTGCATTTTCAGTGAGGTGGCCCCAGGGCAGCCTTGGAATGGTAGACAGAACTCCCACAGATGTGAATAGTGAATACAAGGTGTGCCGAAGAGATCTGAATGCCTGGGCAGAAGTATCTCTGAGACAGACATACAAGATAACCTTGCTTTTCTCTGCTGCCAAAAGGCTCTGGGTGCCTCATTCTTTATTTTATTCCTTTTCTTGTTTTGTGCTACAACATGGTGTGGTAGTCACAAAGGATTAGTACTTATGAGGGATGGATGGGTAGACAGATGCCAGGTGAGATTTTCATACTAAGTGGCTCTTGAAAGTCCATTCACATACAATACATCATTGGGGTTGTTTGGTGTGAAACATTTTGAATGACCGGTTTGGGAATATAAATAATTTACACAGCGATAAACTGCATTGACTTAGGTGTATGCCAATAATCGTGGTTTTATTTATTTTTTATTTACTTTTAGAGAGAGGAAGCGGGGAGAGAGAAATGTGAGAAACATTGATGGGCTGCCTCCCACACGAGTCCTGACCTGGGATTGAACCCACAGCTTGAGTATGTGGCCTGATAGGGAATTGAACTGCCCCTTTTGTTGTATAGGACAATGCTCCAACTCAGCCACACCAGTCAGAGCCAGTAATTTTGTTTTTAGTGAAAAATTCAGCTGGGCACGCATACTTTTATCTGTTGCATAGATGAATCACATGCACTTGGAGGATTAAGTCAGAGCAGGCAACTTTGTGTTCTCAGTAGGTTACATTAACTGTATGGACACATGCAGCTAGAGTCAAGAATCTTCACTCCTCAGTTTCTCTAGTTCTTTTGTAGTTTGACTGAAACTGGAAAGAGGAGGAAAAAGGATGTAAAAGAAGGTCATGGAAAGATTAGTACTCCCTTAACTTCCCCACTATTAAAATTAGAAGCCTGTTTCTCTCCACAGATGAGAAATGAACGTAGAGCAAATTCTATAGATAGAGTCTGTTGATAAACTGTAGAAAGTGGACTTGGAACCAAGACAAAATAATGTTTACATGCATAATAGCTGGTAATTCTTTATTTCTAAGAGGTTATTCATCTAGTTATTTGAGATTTCTGTCCTGCTGGTTTATTTGATAAATGGAATAATTAAATCATAATTATTCATGTGTGTATTCCTAGATGTTTTAATACCATTAATATGGAATAATACCAGGGGCTCAAAATAATACCAGGACTCAAAGATAACATTTGATGTCTTTTTAAAATGGATAAACATTTATTATTTAATTTGATTTTTACATGCATTCTCATTTAATGCATGAGAAATCCAAGCTAGAGAAAGGATAAATGACTTTCGAAAGACCACATGGCTAGATATAGGCAAAGCCAAAATTAGAACTTGGCTTTCTAGACTCAGGCTGCATTGTTCTATTCTACTTACCCTAAATATGTAAAAATTAAAATAAATTACATTTCTTCATGATAATTTTTAGTCTAAGCAGTTGAACATTTTCTATTAAATATATAATCTGTAAAATGTCTTACTTAGTTGGCCCACTAATTTCATTTTCTGTAAAGGATTTAAAATTTGTTCTTGTACAAGTAATAGATTGGTAGGGTAAGAAAAATAGTAGAAAAATGAGAAAATAATGAGAAACATAACAAATGTAAAAATTAAATTCTCCCACCATACAGTATTAAGCACTCGTCTGTACACTTCCAGGTGTTTTGCTGGACGTGTGTGTGTGTGTGTGTGTGTGTGTGTGTATGATGAATATATTTCCATATCAATATAAACATACTTTACAACTTAATTTTTATTAACAACATTACTGTTTTATTTTGTGGATATCTTATTTATTTAATCCCAAATTGTATGTTTAGGTTATCTTCAGATTTTTAATATTATGTATAACAACCTTGTTGCATGTCTTTTATATATACTTTCCTCTGGATAAATTCCTAGAAGTAGACTTGTTGAATAAATGGGTTTACTTTTTTTTTTTTAAGGTTTTGATGCATATTTCCAAATTTGAAGGGATTATACTACTTTATACTAGAACGTTAGTAGTGTGTGAGTGTGCTGATTTCCTTTGCCTTGCTAGCATTTGGGTGTTTTTCTCTTTTATAATCTTTCCCAATTTACAAGTCAGGAAGTTTGCTCATTGCTTTTAGATTTTTTTCATTATTAAGGGAATTGAACATCTTTTCACATGTTCACTGACCATTTATATTTCTTGTTCTGCCGGTTCAGGTCTTTTGCCCGTTTTTTTCTGCTGTAATATTTATCTTGTTCCTAATGATTTCCAAGAACTCCTTATGTATCAAGTATAATAAACCTGTTTTTCCCTGGCTGGGTGGCTTGGATGGAGCGTCGTCCCGTATACCAAAAGGTTGCGCATTCAGTTCCTGGTCAGGGCTCGTATGGGAGGCAACTGATTGATGTTTCTTTCTCACATCGATGTTTCTCTCTCTAAAAAAAAAATCAATAAAAAAAAAAACATATCCTCAGGTGAGAATTAAAAAAAAACAAAACTCCTCCTATTTTGACATTTAAGTTGCAAATTTTCCCTCACTTTTTAAATGTATGAATTTTTTTTGCTAAGCAGATATTAACTCAGGTACCTTTCCCCAATCCCCACCCTGCATCCTTTAGAACCTTATAAGTACTCCATATTCATAAAGTATTCACTTCTATTTTCTTCAATCCATTAAGTATCTTTAACGTTTTAATCTTTTTGAAACTCATTTTGATGTGAAATAACAGGAAATATGTTTATTGAGCTCTGCCCCAATTTCTTGGCACAGAGGTCCTAAAAGCCCTTGTGGTTTCCAAGGTGATAGGAGCATACAGAGCATCTCTTGTTCTGATATTTGGCATGATATTTCTTGACCTAGGGTACTAAATCTCTTGGAATTTCCTGGGTGATAGCAGTGTCTTTTGTTCTAATGAGGCCACTTTTTCTTGGTGGCTTCTGGATGGGTCTGGTTACCAGAAAAACCAAACCATGATTAGAAGCTTGGAATTTTCAGCCCTATCCCCCATTCTCCAGAAAGGGGAAAGGGGCTGGAAGTGGAATTAATAATTGGTCCTGCCTACATGATGAAGCGTCCGCAGCAATCCCACAGTATGGGGTTCTGGGCGCTTCTGGTTTCTGAGCCTGTGGAGGAGCTGGGAGAGGGCAGGAAACTGCAGGCCTCCCGCGCTCCGTGCCCTGTACATCTTCTCCACCTGGGTGTTCATCCCTGTCCTTCATCATGCTCTTATAACACACTGGCAAACATGCTGTACGCTGCTTCCTGAGTTCAGTGAGCTGCTCAACAAACTGATTGAACTTGAGGTGGATGTGAGAACCTCTGATTTATAACTGCTGGGTCAGAAGCACAGGTAACAAGTTGGACTTGCTATTGGCATCTGAAGGAGGCAGACTTGTGGGACTGAACCCTTAACCTGTGACATCTGGTGCTCTCTCCAGGTAGGTAGTGTCAAAGCGAAGTTAAATTGTAGGTCACCTAGCTGTTGTCACACCGCTTGGTTTGGGAGAAGCCCACATCTGGTGTCAGAAGTGTTGTGAGTATGAGAGTCAAGGAGACACATAGGAGAAGTGTTGGTTTTCTAAATAGTACATGAGCCTAGGTAAGGTTCTTTTATTTTTGTTCCCCAAATACTTAACCAAATATTCCAGCATGAGGTATTTCTTTGCTCATTAATTGAAATGCAATCATTATCCTGTACTAAATAAGTAAACGAGTCTGTTTCTGGTTTACTTGTTCTGTTATATTCACTGTTCTGTTTGGATTATCTGGGTACCTGACTATTATTGCGGTTTTATAGAGCATTACTATGGGCAGTCCATTCATTTTTACCTGTAGGTAAATGATCAGTAATGAGACATATATGAACTCTGCCTAGATTTGAATTTTGTAACTGGCTCCCATGTTGGAGAGCTGATCATCTGGAATATCCTGGACTGGACCGTGCAGGCCTGTGAACGCAACTTCTGGGACCCATCTCCACAGCTGGACACTCAGCAAGAAATAAAACTCTGTCAGAAACCAAATGACATTTCTATTCATCATTTCACATGGGATGAAGAGGTAAAAAAAAAAATCGTGAAAATAGCTATAAATTTGCCCTTTTTTTGTTGTTGTTAATCCTCACCTGAGGATATTTTTCTATTGATTTTTAGACAGAGTGGAAGGGAGGGAAGGGGGGAGAGAGAGAGAAACATTGATGTGAGAGAGACACATCAACTGGTTGCGGGGGACCCAACTGCAACCAAGTTATGTTCCCTGGACTGGGAATCGAACCTGTGACTCTGGGATCCATGGGCTGATGCTTTAACTGCTGAGCCAAACCAGCCAAGGCTATATTTTTTGTTTTCTTTGCACTTCTCTTACTTTAAAAGCAAAACAATAGGGTAAGACTGAGGTACAGAACACTAATATACTCAAAGATTAAGTTTCTTTATACCCTTTAATGGTAAAACAGTAGGGTTTCACAAAAGCTGGAAACTAGATTTCTAAGAGTTGTAAAAAGTTGTGTCCTAAAAATTATATACATTCTTAATTTTCTCTTTTTAAAACCTTTTTCACTTTTTGAAAAAGTATTTAAAAAGGTTTTTCATTTTGCCTTTTAATCTTTAAAAGTTTGATGCTTATTAACTACTATAAATGCTTGATAAAACATTACTCAGTTTTATTTTCCTTTTATAGGGCGTTCTTTCTACGGGGGGCATTAATTATTGATAACAGGTGATTGATAGAGCGATTCTGTTGACTCACTGCAGCCTAAAAGCTCATTAATTCTCTAGGCGTGTTTTTCTTTGTGTCCTTGGATAAATCACTTAAACTCTGCACAGATTCCCTGGTCTATGCAACTAGTTTCTGGGGTTTCTTTGCATTGAATGCTACCACTAGGGTTCTAAATTTTAGCAGCTTGGCTAGCTGTTCATTAATGCCCCCGGCACTGATCCTCAACTTGCATTGCTAAGTGTGGAAAACCAATTCTGAGGGCGGGGATCATACCAGACTTAGACTGTGGTAAGCCTCAGGGTCATGCTTTGGTCCAGGTAACTGTAGGCCTGAGTTGGATTTGTAGCCTTTGAGGCCACACGAGAAAGGTTCAAATAACAGAGAGGCGATCTGTAGGGTTTTTTGAAAGGTCTGCCTTACTGGGGTACCTAATGAGCAAGAGTGAATAATTCCAAGACATGTGCTACCAAAGTCTAGTGACTTGCAAAACGATTTCAGAACCTAGGTGGTATGTGGAAAGAGCCAGGGACTGGAGCAACATGACCTTGAGTCCCTGTCATAATGTTTTGTGTGGCTTTAGTCTTTCAATTTTAACTTGCTCACCTGGAAGATGCCAATTATACTTGCTTCTCCAATCTTAATGTGATGTTGAAGTAAGATGAGTATTGGTGAAAATACTTTTCAAAAAATTAAAATTGTTTTTAGTGAAAAGGTATTTCTAATACTACATTTGGGAAAGTGTTTCTGTGGGGCCATCAGAGGATCTCAAGATGACAGTGCCACTATGGCATAGGCTTCTTTGTTTCCTTTATAGGTCTCCATTATGGTGTGGAGTGCAAGCAATTTTGTTCACATTTTGCAGGCAAAAGAAACTAAGTAATTTCCCCAAGGATATAGTGGTATCTGAATGAAAACATAGCTCATACTTCAGCAGCTTCTGCTGCGGGGCCACTCCACCAGCCATAGCTCCTTTCTCTAGCTATTTTCATTTCAATGAGCAAGAAAGTGATACTAAGGGTGTAATGTAGAGAGCTTTCTCTGTATCAGCAGCCGTGTCCTTCTGCCTTCTCAGTGCTGAGCTCTCCTTTGTGATTTGAAATGTTGGACTTCAGAAGGCAGCACAGTAATTTGGGCTGAAGGCTAGGGACAGGGGAAGGTGACAGTGGCCCTCTGATGTCACACCAGGGCTGGAAATCCATTGCCCTAGATAGTGGTAAGCACTCGTTTTATGCCCATTTCTGCATTCCCCCTCCAGAATGTCTTTGCTGCAGTTGGAAGGGGCTTATACGTGTATAACCTGCAGATGAAGCGCGTTACTGCCTGCCAGAAAACGGCGCACGACTCCGTGGTCCTGCACGTCGCCAGACTTCCAGACAGGTGCGGTGTCCGTCTGCTCTCCCACAGGGGAACGAAAGTCACCGTTCCTGGGGCTACCGATGTAATTCGTACGTGGCTACGTTGCCTGGCTTTGTGGCTTGACCTGCTGTCTTCTTTTGGAAATGCAGAATGTGTGGCTGTCTCTAATAAAAGAGTTTGTGGCAGTATATTACAAAATTTACAAGAAGCATGGTTCAAAGGAATTACATTGAATTTCATTATAAGAAGAGATACTTTAAAATATGCTATTTATTTTAAAAGGTAAAAGACTTTTGGGCACTTAGTATGTACTAATTTTTCTTTTTATAGTTTCCATACATACATCCTTTTGTTGTTTGTTTATAGCCAGAATCAAATGTAAGTCTCCGGTTGTTGACGGTTACTAAGTGAGGACTTTCCTCTCAGGATGAATTTGGCTGCTGAATTTTTAGGGAGGAAATTATATGAAGGGAACTATTATCTTCTGTGCAGGGTGTTTGCAGAGTGAGAAGCATCCTGAGAAAAGAAGGAGTGAGGGGGGATGGGGACTGTTGCTCAGGATATTATGAAAGAGTAATTCATACCCTGTTTTCCTGAATGCACTTTAAGAAACGGAGATGAAATATTTATAACATTTGAGCCAATGGAACAATATAATGCGTGTCTTTCCTGAAGAGTGCTTTTACTTTGCATTGGAAAGCCATGTTAAATTGTGATTTTTATCAGCTCCTACCAAGAGCTGAATAAAAGCAATCGAGGGCTCCACTGATTTCTCTCACTGCAAATTTAGCATTACCCTCCATGGTGCTCTGTGTTTTTATCACGGATTTTCTGTTCTGACAGGCAGTTAATCTCATGCTCAGAAGATGGCAGTGTGCGCATTTGGGAGTTACGAGAAAAACCGCAGCTTGCCGCCGAGCCTGTACCAACAGGTGTGTCTTTTCTCAAAAAGAAAGTCTGTCTTTTCCTCTCCCGTGAAAGACAGAAGAAAGGCAGTTATGTATAACCAAAAGACTAATACACAGTGTGCTCGAGATAAGCATAGATGTTTTACATGAGGCATATAGTAATTGGGATCTAGGGCTCACATCTTAATATTGCTTCAATACAGAATTGCCTGTTTATTTCTCTTCGAGTCAACTGGCATTTTTATTGTTTTGAGGGGAAACTTATTTTCTGGTAATCTGGCCAGATGGCCTAATGAAGTATTTATTCATTTCTGTAGTCTATAATTGTGCCTGATACACAAACAATTTGTATGGTCAGATGTCAGACTAAAGTGTTCTTTCAGACTTGGAGCATTATTATTAACATTAATATTGAACTCGTTCTATTGAAAAATCACACTTTTGTGTTTATATCAAGCTCATGGACTGTTGACTTTCAGGTTTTTGGTTTGTAAAACGAAATCCCGGTGTGTTAGCAACCTTACATGAGAAATCAGCCGCTGTGCCGCTGGAGTTCCTTCTGGTTATGTGAAGTCATAGGCATTGTTTTTGGACACTCGTGTTCCTTTTGGTCAGCCCTTGATGGTAGATCTGAGCTGTGAAGTTGTGACCCTTTTTTTTGGACCCTGTCATTCAGGCCTTTGACTTCTCATTTTTCATTCCTAGTGTCTATGTTTTTGTTATGTTAATACAACTTCCAGTGGGTGAGCAGGGGCAATAAGAGAGAGCAGCAGCAACACACCTGGTTAGCTAGGAAAGAGGAAATGAAGTAACATTAAAAAATCCCTAGCAGCCCTGGCCAGTTTGGCTCAGCGGTTAGAGCGTCGGCCTGTGGTCCGGAGAGACCCGGGTTCGGTTCCCGCTAAGGGCACGTACTTCGGTTGCAATTTGTTCCCGGCCCTGGTTGGTTGTGCGGGTGGCAGCCACTCGATGTGTCCCTTTCACGTCGATGTTTCTCTCTCTCTCTCCCTCTCTCTCCCTCCCACTCTGTCTGTACAAAAAATGGAAAAATATCCTCGGGTGAGGATAAAAAAAAAAAAAAAAAAAAAATCCCTAGCAGACTGACAACCCTCAGAAGAGGGGGTGGGGGGGGAGGGAAGAGATAAGCCACAGAATTTATATGCATGTACACATAACCGATGGACACGGACAATAAAGCCAGGTATGGGGTGGGGAGGATGGGGAGGAGGGTGTCAATGGGGGAAAAGAAGGAAAAACATCTGTAACAAAAGTAAATTAATAAAAAAAAAAAAAGTCCCTAGCATAGTGCCTGGTACCATCCCTTTAGCCCTTGACTAAAACAAGCACAGCCCTAGCTGGTATGGCACAGTTGGTTGAGCATCACCCCATGCCCAGAGAGGTTACCAGTTTGATCTACAGTCAGGGTACATGTCCATGTTGCCGGCTTGATCCCCAGTAGGGGACATGCAGAAGGCAGCCAATCAATGTTTCTCTCCTCCTCCCTCTGTCAAATCAATTAAAAACAGACTTAAAAAAAAAAAAAAAAAAAAAGGAAAATAAGTACAGATCTTCACATTTAAATTTTGTTCTTCTGATCTTATATTACAACCATGAGTACAGAGCAGAGTAATTTTGAAAACGACTGAAATGATTGTATTTTTCTAGGTTTTTTTAACATGTGGGGATTTGGACGAGTGAACAAACAGGCCAGCCAGCCTGTTAAAAAACAACAAGAAAACGCCACTTCGTGTTTACTAGAGCTCGTTGGAGATCTGATTGGACACTCATCGTCTGTGGAGGTATTGTTTCTAATAGGCGAATGTCCAGGGAATTCCTGTTTGCATCTCACTGCTCTCCACTCCGTTGCTGTCATAAAGACCTACACTTCTCTTGTCTGTAGGTTTTTGCTGAACTGTAACATGGAATAGGATAGGTTGTGGTATGTGCAGTTAGGATCTCTCTTGACAGATGATTTGAAGAACCACGGAACGCGTTGCTTCTAAATCAGTGATTTTCAACCTTTTTCTTCTGATGGCACACATAAACTGATTACTAAAATTCTATGGCACATCAAAAAATATATTTTTTGCTGATCTGACAAAAAATAGGTATAATTTTTATTCATTCACACTGGATGGCTACTGTTTCGTTGGCTGTTGTCATTTATTTATTTGATAATCTAAGGGAAAAGAGGTCAGTGCCCCTAAGTAGTCAAGTACCACATGTTTTAAAAATCTTGCCCGGCCAGTGTGGCTCAGTGGACTGAGCATCGTCCCATGGACTGAGAGGTCCCGGTTCGATTCCTGGTCAGGGTGCATGCCCAGATTGTGGGCCCGATCCCCAGTTGGGGGGAGGGCGTGCAGGAGGCAGCCGATCAATGTTTCTCTCTCACATCAATGTTTCTCTCTCACATCAATGTCTCTCTCTCTCTCTCTCTCTCTCTCTCTCTCTCTCTCTCTCAGCAATCAATAAAAACATATTTAAAAAAAATTCATGCAGCACACTGGTGTGCCTGCTGCAGCACATCATTGAAAATCACTGTTCTAAATTTTTTATGAGATGGAGATAGTTGACAGTGAGGACAATGTGAATAATATTGAATATGTAACAGTAGTAAATAAAGGATGAATGGAGGGTTGTGGTTATACGTGTGTGTGTGTGTGTGTAGAGCTAGCCTTATGGAACCTAATTCTAGGGGCCTTTGTCATATTCATGAATGGAGTTCTGTTTTACCTCCCTTTGAAGGATCATAATTGGTCAGCTTTAGCAAAACCCAGTGTCTTGATTATTATGCATATATAAAAATATTAGTTGAGAATTATAAAATGCATACAACTCTAACTTGTGGAAATCCAAATACTTTAATATTTCCTGTAGGCACCATGGCCTGTAATGAGGAAATAAGATTAGTTAAGATAAAGATGACTGGAAGTGGTAATAGTATGACATCAGAATAAACAAGGCCCTAAGGAATGCCTTCCTTAAATTTTTCTTCCCTGTTCCCAGGGAGGAACACATTACTTCTCATTTTAAAGTGCATTTATGCTTAGGAGCTGAAGCACACTTGTTAGGGAGCATCTCCTGTATTTTAGGCACTATACTAGACAGTGGAGTTCACAAAGAGATGAAATACAACACTTGTCCTTGTGAATCTTACACTTTAGTAGAGAGAAAGGATACAGATCTAATAAGCTGTTCATCTAGGCTGCTTATTTGGACCCAGATGCATAGCAAACAATGACTATTCCAGAATTAGAAGAAAATGATTAGTGCAAGAGGGGACTTGAGCTGAACCTTAAAAGTTAGGTGGGATCGATGCTCCCAGGTGTGGGCATTCATCTTCGCTTTTCTCTAACAAGCAGCCTCGTTGTTTTGTTTAACTTTGTCTTCATTTCTTGGCTGTTGTGTAGTGTGGGAGTGGTGAGGAGGGAATGTGGAGGACAGAAGGGCAAACACAGGAACTCCTTGGTAGCAAAGTGCAGCTTCTCTGGGCTGGAGCCCTGGTTTTTTGTGCACATGACTGGCAGAGGAGGTACAGACTGGGGAAGTAGCTCTGGGTTAGATGGTAAGGCTGAGGAGTTAGGACTTTATTTTTAAAACAATAGGAACCCAGCCCAGCTGGTGTGGCTCAGTGGTTGAGCATTGACCCATGCACCAAGAGGTCACTGATTTGATTGCTGGTCAGGGCACATGCCGAGGTCCCCAGTAGGGGGCATGCAGGAGGCAGCTAATTGATGTTCTCTTTCATTGATGTTTCTATCTCTTTCTCCCTCTCCCCTCCTCTTTCTCTAAAATCAATAAAGGAAAAAATAATGTTAAAAAAACAACAACACTAGGAACCCATTAAAGGTTTCTCAGTGGTGGGGGAAATCTTCAAAGCGGCACACTTGTCATAATATAGAAACGTCAGATTCCTAGGAATTGTCCTGAGTTCAAGTATTGGATGTGAATACTTTAAAAAAAATCTCTGGCTTCATTGAAAAAATCTAGGCTATCTCTTAGGTACTATCTCCTGAATTTCCTCATTCCTTTTATTATATTTTCATCTGTACTCTCTAACCCAACCCCTGTGTTCTCAATTCTGTCTTTTCCATGTCCTGAGAAATTTGGTTCCACTATTAACTGCCTTCACTCCTGTATAATTGGCTGGGGCCTCATCCTCCTGTCTTCAGAAATGTATAAAGTATTTCAAAGAAAACTCTCATCCTCTTGTTCTCGTTTTTTTTTTTTTTCTTTATTGATTTTAGAGAGAGAGGAAGGGGGGAGAGAGAGAGATAGAAACATCGATGAGAGAGAACATCGATTGGCCACCTCCTGCATGCCCCCCACCGGAGATTGGGCCCACATCCTGGGCATGTGCCCTGACCAGGAATCGAACCAGCGAGCTCTTGGTGCATGGGTCGACGCTCAAACACCAAGCCACACTGGCTGGGCTCGTCCTCTTGTTTTTTAATGTTGTTTTATTTCTCCCCTCTGTTTCATTCTTTCCTTGGAGGAGCTCATCCTTTTCATGACTGTCTCCTCTCTGATGCCAACTGTCCACTCCGTGGCATTCATGCTGCCTTCTCATCAACACTCCATTTTCCAGGTCCTGGTTTCCAGCCTGTTTCTTCACTTGGTATGACCTTCCCTTTATATGGAGAGGTTTATATTTTTGAAGCCTTTTCTGACCAGTTTGGTTATTATTGATCTTTGTCACCTTTTTCTGAATTTCTGTGACAAATTATAGTCTGAACAACTATTGGTGCCCTAATTGTTTCAGGTATGATGTGGCTTTTACAACTGAATTAGAACCTTCTGGAGGGTAGGGCATATAGATGTCACTCAGTAAGTGCTTATGGATGGATTGTTATATCTTTTATTTACAGACCTGAAGCCGGTGTTGAATTGGAGAATTTGTAATTCAGACTTTTTTTTGTTGGTAGCCATTTGTGTATAAATAATGGGGCGAGTATAATCGATTAAGTAAAATAGGTCTGGCAGGACTTTTGACAAAATTTTAAAACTGGTACTTGAAGAAGAATATGGTAAAATTTAGAAGATACTTTGGGAATTCATGTACATTACAAAAATAGCTGCTATAGTTCTGTAGGTGGGCAATATTAAAGTTTTGATTATAAAAATAATAGATATTGGTCTAGTATTTCTATTTTGAGCATCTATATATTTGTGTGTAACTATTATCAACACTTAAAAATAAAATTTGTCATCCTGGCCGGTTTGGCTCAGCAGTTAGAGCATTGACCTGCGGTCCAGTGAGTCCCAGGTTCGGTTCCCACTAAGGGCACGTACCTTGGTTGCAGTTTGTCCCCCGGCCCTGGTTGGGTCGTGTGGGAGGCAGCCACTCAATGTGTGTGTTCCTTTCACATCAGTGTTTCTCTCTCTCCCATTCTATCTGAACAAAAAAAATGGAAAAATGTCCTCAGGTGAGGATAAAAAAAATAAATAAATAAAAAATAAAATAAAATTTGTCATGGAAAATGACAAGGAGTTTTACATTCAGACCCAAAGACATCTCCAAGGTACACATCTTACAAGCACGTGTGTTGATCTAATTTGGCCACTTCTCTTCTCCTTGAAGTTCCTGTACTTAGTAATTTTACATTTCTTTACAGATGTTTCTATACTTTGAAGATCATGGACTAGTGACCTGCTCTGCTGATCATCTCATTATTTTGTGGAAAAACGGAGAACGAGAATCTGGATTGCGCAGCTTAAAATTATTTCAAAAATTAGAGGAGAATGGTGACTTACATCTTGCTGTCTAGTTTAAGGAATTTAGAATACATGTGCATGGACCTTGAACATCGAATGTAGGGTGACACTCTGAAAACCGTTTATATAATCACTTAAATGTGTAATGTATTTTTTCCTTATTATTTTATAAACTTCAGATTGTTTGAATTATTTTGAGTGGGCATGCAAACCAGCAGCAAGTTGCTTCTTAGGTGTGAGTACATCCACCAAAGAAATGACCACAAGTATTTTAGCAGTGAATTTTCAAAAAGTGAAGTTTTCAGATCACAGTACAAATATCTGTTGATACAGAATTAATTTATATCATAGTGTTCTCATAGACAATTAAAAAATTTTTATGCTTTAAACATTTTTACACCAGAAATTATGAACTTACTCAGAACTTCTTACCCTTTTTGTTTAGTATAATTTTATTACTTCTAATTAAATTCTTATTCATTATTAGATGTTTTTTAAAAGTTGCATATAGTTTCTTTCATTTAGTCTTTGGATTTTAAAATACCTTTTGTTCTCCAAAATGAATATTCATTTTAACTATACCTATTCATTCCTTCAGACATTTATTTGAGGAGCCTGCTTTTAAGGAAATAAATATACATAATAATTATAGAAGATTTTGGGGAGAAAAACCCACTGAAGAAGAGGTAGGATGTAGCATAACTCGGTTTTAAACCTTGAGATCTCCAGAAAACTCTCTCCGTGGGAAGAGGGGATTGCGTGGTAACTGCCTTCGTGCCGCCGCTGAGGTGCTGATGCTGCTCTGAGCTGTTCGTTTGAATCCAGATCTTGTGAGGATTCCAACAGAAGAGTAAGGTGGTGGTATTGATTAGACGTCTTTTATTCTTTGGTTATCTTTAGAGTCCAGTGATTAAGAATCCTTATGATACATTTAAATATATCCTTTTTCTCTGTACCGCAGGCCGACGCTCTAACCGCTGAGCCAAACTGGCCAGGGCTAAATATATCATTTTTCATACAAACTCCCCTGGTCTTTAATAATGAATTATCAGTGTTCTATAGAGCAAATTTGAATCTCTCCCTGTTCAGTAGGAATCGTGTGAGGGTGTATTTTCTCCCTCAGGGTGAATTGGCCCGAAGAGCTATTGGCCAGATTGGTACTGCACCAGCCGCTGCCCCTCATGTGTGCCCGGGGCGAGTGAAGCGTTCGAGTTTCCCGTCAGAGACGGAGCGCCTGGGTCATCTTACCACCGACTCCAAAGCGAAAGGCTTGAGAAAAGCTTCCCTTACGTGGTTTCTTGCAGTGTCCCCTGAGATTTAGTCGTTTTCATCATTCACTGGCTTTATAGCAGAGCACTCTCTCCCTTTTGGTACTAACGGATAAAATCAGAACATATTCCACACATTGGAAAGGGGCGAGTTTGTCGTGGAGTTGTTCTTAAATCTAAAGTGCTGATGAAAGAGTCCTGTTAACGTAAGTGCGAGGTGGCTTAGGTGTGAGAGGGTCCTTCTCAAAGCACACTTTCTGCAGATTTATTTGTTCATCACACACTCTTGATAGAATCTTTGTAAACGCTTGTTTTTATTAGATTTACCTTTGACAGTTGCTCCCACACCTGCCCGAAGAGGTTGGAAGAGCTCAGGCCCCTGTGCTAGAGCCGTGCCACAGTGAGGACGGGCGGCCAGGCAGCTGCACCTTAGTGTTCAGCTCCAGTCCAGGATCATCGCTGAGCGGCAGTGAGGACTGGAATCAGAGCAAGGCTTATGACCACCATGTGCGGAAAACCAAATAATGTTCAGTTATTTAATTTATAATGAAAATACCTTTACGGAGAAATATATTAAAATTTGTTATCTCCATTACAGAATAGAAGAACATGAATAGGAAAACTAGCACTCCCTTTTAGCCAACACCTTGTTATTTGTGGCATATTTGAGGAGCCGCACGGACAGCTTTCTAATGTTGCATCCTGAGGTCGGAGCGTGGTCGGTATCCCACCAGGCTGACCTGCGTTCTGTCTGAGTGCACCAGATGGTTGATCGGTTTGATTAAATATCTCAGACTCGTTTTCAGCCTTTACTTTTTCTCTGTAGTTACTCCATTACTAGCTAGCATTTTCTTTGGAAATTTTACATAGGTCATGCGTTTGTCAAGTTGTTTTCTTGAATTGTTTATGACATATTCAATGAATTATATGAGAATCATAGATTTTTCACTGCTTTATTTCCTAATCTGTCCTGGGTTAGTATGTTGTGATAGTTTTCTATTCACATGGAGTGATATAAACCACGGGTGAGTTTTGGGAGCAAATAGTTCCAAAAGTACCATGGCACATCCCTCTGTTGTTATACTCGAGTTCGTTTTCTGCCATGAGAACCTATTGTGTCTGGAGGGAAGCCTCCAACTCACCCACTGGACGCAGTGTTTTTTGCTTTCGTGAATGCCCTGATTTAGAAGAATACATAATTACAATCGAGGTCAACATATATTATGTGCATTCTTTTCCATCTTAGTTTTCAAAGCTATTGTATTTGAAGGTAACACTATGTGGTGTACCTTATTAACCTCACTCGTTGGCTGAATTCATAACACAATCAAGAGGTTAAACTTTGGGGTGTTGTGTCATCCCTTCCATTGATCTTCCTCAAGTGGAGTGGGTTCTGACTGAACTGATAGGCTTGTTCTTTGCTCACAAGACTAACCAGTTCTGACTCTGAAGGCAATTTAAAATCTTAAATTGGAAGTAAAGAATGGCTTAAAAATTATAGGGTCATTCTGGTCCAGGTAATAATGTTTTCTGACTTTTTCTTCTAGTTAAGTACTAGTGATAATGTGACTTCTCTCTGTATTCGACAGGGTTTAATTTTCCTAAGTTAATACAGCTCCCCTCAACACACAGTACTGTAGTAAACAACTCAGGATAAGAGGCGATTATAATAGTTTATACCCATGTGATACACACCATCTGAAAGACCACATTTCTAATAAAATGACTATTTGGAGGAATGCACTACTTAGGTCAGAAGCTTACAGCATAGTAGATTACAGTGATAAAGAGCAGAACTATGCTGAAGTTTTAGTACCTGGCCGTCTTAAAGAATTTGTTAATATCAAATTAATTGGAAATTCTAATTAAGCTGTAATATTCATATAGAAACTGTGAGAAGCTGTTAAATGTTCCTTACTTACCAAATGGAACTGAGAGATGGTCAGGGAAAGATGGTCCCCGCCTCAAGCCAGCTTCTGAAGCATAGGCAAAGTTTTAGCTCCTTAAATGGGATTCTGAGATCCTGAATTTAATTTGTTTGGAAAACAAAGTGTATGACATTAAATAAAGGACACTGAACTGAAATTTTGAAATTATGAAAAATTTAGGTCAAAGAGAAGGTAAAATAAAAACAGCTGTAGGAAATGAAAAATGGCTGTAGGAATTTAGTTACAAGTATTTCACAAAAACATTTTCATCACATTTACATAATGCAGCATTACAATACAAAGCTAGCTGCTGTCCCGACCAAGCAAGTTCTCTTACCATCTGACAAAAATAATTTAGATACAGTTCTTTGCATGGAATTGCCATGTAGGTTCCCCCCCGCCCCCCATTTTTTCTTTTTGGTACAAAACATAGAAAAAACATTGGCACATTATGTAGTGATGTCATTTTTTTCTTCCCATGTACTAATTCCAAGTGTTCTGCGTTTCAATTTTTGTTTGAAAACACTACTGATTCAGTTCATTCAGTCTCTGTTTATATCTCTTAAAAATGCAGCATGGAGTACAAAGAATTTGAAAGAAAAATGAAGATATTTTGTTTTCTGAGCTTCTGATATGTACAATACATAGAGAAGGGTTGACTGATAAAGGAAAATTTCATGTCAATCACAGAAAGTTGTGAAAAGAGCCATATAAAAATATGCACTTGTGCTTTAGAAGCTTTTAGCATACAATTAATAGTATTTACTGTTTCCCCATATGCCTATTTTCTGATATATTTACACATCTTGCAATTTTTTTACATCATTAAAGGAAAATGGCATGATCGCAAATATAGTTTAAAAATATCTGAACCTTGAAACCTCCCCATCCCCTCCCCCAAATATATACGTATAGCTGGTACATGGAACAACATACTCGATCGACTTTTATCCAGAAAATTTAGATTGATTTCATAAAAATTTTAAACAACAAATGTATATAAATTTTTTCTTTTTTAAAAAAAAGCTTGTCCAAGGGCATTCAGATGTAATGGCTTTTATATAGTACTGTCGTGCCTTGTGACTGCCTGTTAACCAGAAATGAAGAACCTCATAGAGTCCCCTTCCCCATCATAGATGGCTTTCTGTTCAGATGAATGCCTTTTACAGGAAAGAGGGCCCCCAGGCTGCTGCTTCCCGCCTGGAGAAGGCACTCCCAGGCCAAGGCTGTGTTCTAATGGGCGTCCTCACATCGACCAGAAGAGCTGCTTAGCCACGGAGGCTGTGAAGCTACCAGTTTGTCAGTAATTTGGTCCTAGTTGTTTTGCTCATTTTAGAGTTTTTTTCCCTTAGATATTCTTATGAATCCTTCAGACCGATGCTCTTGAAGAAAATAGTCAAACTAAGCAGTGATGGTGACATTCATGGTCAGATACGAGCCGAACACTAGCTAAGCCACTTGGTGTCGTCATCCCCAGAAACGGGCTCAGCGGCACCATATCTGTGCTGCTAGTTACAGTTGCAGCTCCAAGGGTTTGCCACGTGCGTGTTCTGTTGCTCACTGCATAAAGAACATATTTTTCTTCTTGGAACATAACTTTCTAAAAATGAAATTTGGGGACTTATTTGATTCAAGGTCAAATATTAAACATTAGCTCCTTGACCTACACTTGTCATTTTCATGATAAAGGAAAGCCCAGCCTCTTGTTTGCACTGCTGTGAGTCACCACGCCTTGTCTTAAGAGGGCCCTCCTCTGTCTTGGCTTTAGCTGTCAGATGGAAGCCTCAGACTTTTGCACTTCAGGTCATCTAGTGTCTTCCAGTGTTTGTAGTTATTGGCCAGATGTTGCATCAGGGCTGGCAGATGTGCAAAGGCTGCAAGAACATAAAGGAATCAGAAGCCTGTTAGGCCCAGAAGCACTTATAAGTCTGGGGCTCTGTGGGACAAATCTGGGATCAGAATTGGAGAAGTACCCTAGGTTAGGCCTTATACTGCAAGCGAATGCACAGCATTAGGATAGTCATTGAACACTGGTTCCTGAAATACAAACCGATCCTTTGAATTAAAAGTTGAAAAGCCATTGCCAAAAGAATCTGTGATTCAGAGTAGACTTTTAATACCTTTTGTGTTCTTTCTAAAGTTTCTTCCCATGATAGAATAAAACTGCTGTAAGCTTTGGAAGAGGTCCTTTGAAGAGGCAAAGACTTGTTTATCAGTTTATCAAATA